TTCTATAATCGATCTTACCCTCATCACTTCGCTGCACTGAGTATATCATCTGACCTTGACGTGTCCAATCACAACGCGGCTGATCTCCCTGCACGCCACCGACTTTGGCGATTTTGATTTCAAACAAAATTTGCGTGATGCGGACTCTAGTGGGGGTACTCCGTGGAGGCATTTCATAAGGTTCCACCTAGTGGAAACAAATTGTATATAATATGCACCCCGCGAGGGTGATTTGTTACCGGTACTCGTATATGTAGGCAAGGCATTAGAGGCATTTCATAAGATTTCACGTAGTGGAAACAAATTATATATAATATGCACCCCGCGAGGGTGATTTGCCACCGGTACTCATATGTGTAGGTACGCCATGGGAGGGCATGTCCTGACACGACTTGGGCTTCATGAGATGAAGCTTATTATGAGCTAAGCTATCACTTGCCTCTGCGTGAGTTGCTCATTAGGTTGATGAAATGTCAATCACTTAAATCCATGACAAAATATAATTATAAGTATAACTTTATACGAGAAAAACAACCTCAAAAGCTCTGAATCATTATGTGGTGATTGGATGGTGGTGCTTCATCACAGAGATCACCAACTTCTTAAGCAGTGCTTTAGTTTTTCTTTTTAGCTTTGTGCCCTCACTAGCTGTAAAATACCTCAGAAACGATTCTGTTATCTTATCACTTTCGTTAATAAAATTAATTGAGCAGGTACCTTCCCGCAATGATTAATTTTTATTTTAAAATATGCGTTTGCTGAAAGAAAATTACTGTCAGGAACGTGATATATCATAAATTATCATCATACTTCTTTACCTCATTGTTTGTTTCCAGGTTGATAAAGCCTGGACTATGATAATAATTTTCAATTTACATCAGCATATCATTTAAAATAAACGTTGAATGTCTTTCGAACAGAGGCTCTGTTCCTTTATCCTAGTTTAGTCACACGACTCACATGAGTATATTTATAACGTATATTGGTCAGTAAAATGTTAGAACTTTTTATTCATAAGCCTTTTGATATTGATAGCTGGCCATGTTCAGAAAACGGCACATCGACATTACAAATACCTTATCAAGATTGTACATAGTTCACTTACCCCTCGAACAATCTTTTAATAAAAGGGCTACTTTTCTTAAGGCAGCGATGCCGCTTTCGTTATACCAGAAGACGACAAATTCAAACAATTATTACTGCAGCTGCTCGAAGAACAATTATGACTACATCCACACATATTGCTGCTTTTGCCATTAATGCTAGTCAGTCGGCGGCTGAAATGTCAATATTGACCGATGTCCTTCACTCTAAACTGTAAAATAATTTAATTAAGTATTTTGTAATACATTTACCAATTTATTTTTACACTTACTTATTCGCTATGTGCGAAGTACATGGTGGGGGTATAGTGAAGCGATCGCAGCGCTTATCGTGGCAGAAATACGCAACAATCCGGGAAAGTAAAGTCAATTTGCACGGAGTTCGTAATAAACAAAAATTTTTTAAAATGCCTATTAATAGATGTTGTTGTGTTGTGAATTGCAAAAATAAGGGCACAAATAGTCTGTGTATATATTTCCTACATTGGACTGGAAATTAAATCAAAGAAATAAATGGATAGATGCCATAAAAAGAAATAAGTAAGCGAAATAACCTTAAATTATGATCAATTTTATTTGCGCTATATATTTTATGTGATATTCATTATTGTCTTTATTATTTTAGTGTTGATGGGTCGCCATGGTATCCCAAACCTGACGACACAATTTGTAGTGAACATTTTATGGGAAACAAAAAATCAGACGAGGAAGAAAATCCGAGTTATGCTCCTACGATATTCCCTGAAATATATCGAAAGAGGAAGGTTAATGATTCACAGGTCCTAGCTAGATATACACGCTTGACAAAACGAAGAACCACAAAAGTCTCAGATACCACATCAAGTCAAATAATAATTGAAGAAGGGAGTGAATTAAATCAAACTCAACCTTTTATGATCGATCAAGGATGTCAAGTCAATATGTTTTCTGAATCGAAATTAAGAGATACAACTTTTATTTGTATTAGATTAATTTACAGTGATCACTGTGATCCAACATCAAGAATTTTAATGACAAATAATTCAAGAAAGAAAGATAAAAGCTGTGGCACTGACAAAAAATCGTATGAGGATCAATCTACCGAAACAAAAAGTCAAGAATTTGTTGGTATTTCATCAATAACAAATGATCAAGAACTCCTAGATCCTTCTGGTGTGTCATTTAGCAATTTTGAGTTTTTATTAACAAGATTAACTATGAGAAAATGTACAGTTTCCACTAAAGACCGACTTCTGATTTTTTTGATAAAAATGAAAACTGGCTTGACATTTTCAGCATTGAGTGTGTTATTTGGTGTACAAAAAAACCACAATCTCACGTATATTTCATTCGATCTTACAAAATCTAGCTTGTTCAACTGCTAATTTAATCTTTTGGCCGAATAGAGCCACCGTACAAGCACCAATGCCCAAGTGTTTCAGTCCAGATTACATCAATACAAGAGTTATTATTGACTGTACTGAATTCCGAATTGAAATCCGACATTATTTAAATTATTATACAATATAATAATAATTTTTATTTATCTTTAATTTACTATATTTACTAGAAATCAATAAAATACAAACTGATGTCATTATTTGGCATAATCCCGGAAAGTTGCGTATTGTAGGTGGCGCTCTGTCGTGCACATAGCGAATACGGAAACATTAATTGAGTACCAAGAGAAAATACTCTTAAAATAGTTTTAATTACAAACGACCAAGACGGTCGTAAAGTATTGCAAAATTTACTTTAATGTAGGTACTTTAATTTTTTAAACAAAAACGCACCTTGAAATACCGTCCAGTTTTACTCACGGCTTATTATTTTTAAAACAAAGGTGTTGCACAATTTAACATATTTGTTTGAAATATCCCTTATCACAAGGGCTGCAAAAACTATCAAAATGAATAATAATTTTACTTACGGTTCCTTCACTTTTAATACGTAAGGTACCTATTTGGAATAACACGAACGGCAAAAACCGTTAAATAAAATAGTTTTACTTACAGTTTTATCACTTAATAATAATAAAACCTTTAAAATCTCACAACGATCGCTCAGATTGAGCGCGTGTTGCTTCGACGGGAGTCAGAACGCCAATGAGTTAATATGGCGCTGTCAAAACTTAGGAAAACAAAAATGGCCGCGCTTCTGCCAGGTGTCGCCACTGGACCGGATATAAGGTGAATAAAAGTACGGAAACTGATGGTAATTCGACGGGAAACGGAAGTGCTATCTCAATATAAAGCTTTCAGTGACGGTCAAGTAGTTTAATCATTAAGTATATTAAAGAAAATAATACGATACATAATGCAAGATAATAAGGGCTTTTTTTTAATACAACAGTACACAAAATAATTTTACTAAAATTACAGAAATTGATTTAATTTCTGTAATTTTTATATTTATAAAAATTTCAGAAATTGATTGATTTGTATATTTGTAACAAACTACTTTCAGGGTGTGCATTATTTTTAAAATCACGATCACAAGGGCTGCAAAAACTATCAAAATGAATAATAATTTTACTTACGGTTCCTTCACTTTTAATACGTAAGGTACCTATTTGGAATAACACGAACGGCAAAAACCGTTAAATAAAATAGTTTTACTTACAGTTTTATCACTTAATAATAATAAAACCTTTAAAATCTCACAACGATCGCTCAGATTGAGCGCGTGTTGCTTCGACGGGAGTCAGAACGCCAATGAGTTAATATGGCGCTGTCAAAACTTAGGAAAACAAAAATGGCCGCGCTTCTGCCAGGTGTCGCCACTGGACCGAATATAAGGTGAATAAAAGTACGGAAACTGATGGTAATTCGACGGGAAACGGAAGTGCTATCTCAATATAAAGCTTTCAGTGACGGTCAAGTAGTTTAATCATTAAGTATATTAAAGAAAATAATACGATACATAATGCAAGATAATAAGGGCTTTTTTTTAATACAACAGTACACAAAATAATTTTACTAAAATTACAGAAATTGATTTAATTTCTGTAATTTTTATATTTATAAAAATTTCAGAAATTGATTGATTTGTATATTTGTAACAAACTACTTTCAGGGTGTGCATTATTTTTAAAATCACGATCACAAGGGCTGCAAAAACTATCAAAATGAATAATAATTTTACTTACGGTTCCTTCACTTTTAATACGTAAGGTACCTATTTGGAATAACACGAACGGCAAAAACCGTTATATAAAATAGTTTTACTTACAGTTTTATCACTTAATAATAATAAAACCTTTAAAATCTCACAACGATCGCTCAGATTGAGCGCGTGTTGCTTCGACGGGAGTCAGAACGCCAATGAGTTAATATAGCGCTGTCAAAACTTAGGAAAACAAAAATGGCCGCGCTTCTGCCAGGTGTCGCCACTGGACCGGATATAAGGTGAATAAAAGTACGGAAACTGATGGTAATTCGACGGGAAACGGAAGTGCTATCTCAATATAAAGCTTTCAGTGACGGTCAAGTAGTTTAATCATTAAGTATATTAAAGAAAATAATACGATACATAATGCAAGATAATAAGGGCTTTTTTTTCGGTCGGACCCCCGAGCTTACATCACCCAATTCAGAGAAAGATCTTCCCCTTTGGCCTTCCTACACAAGTATAGGTTGTTACAGGATGCTTATCAAGAGAAATATCTTGAAAAAATATTATAAATATTAGTTCGTACAACTAATGCGCCTATCAGACTACCCAATTTTAAGGGACCCTTACCCTGACTAAGGGTGGTGTAAATTGAGTTAGGGATTAAGGGACCCGATCTAGGGTGATCGGCGCGACCCCATCTCCTTAACTCCTATTTTAGATAAATTTTGTACGTAAACTTAAACTCGTATTGAACTCATGGCTGACTTTTTGGTATATCAACAGTTTGTATAATTTTTAAGTTACCTGCGATATCTTCAAGCTGCGCCATGCTAGCCTCGTCGAGTAGGGGCGGTAGTTTCTTTGAGAAGAAGTCTTTTAACGCCGTCGCGACCGCATTCACGGGGATGTCCAATGAATCCATGTCCACATTCGGATCTGAGGAGACGGAATGATTTAGAATCCCAGAACAACAAGTAATACTATTATTACGTTTGAGCGTACTCTCCCATAGACAACTGATTAAAGAAATGATTTCCAAACAAACGATTATCCAACTAAAGTGTTAGTGACGTGTTGGCAGGTTGCATATGACATTAGATCGCTTTTAAATTCAATATCGTAAAGGTAACCAAGGTATCTACAAAATATATCCAATTTGAAATTTGTATAGAACAAAATGATCGCTACGGTTGACTTGTGCTATTTTCTAGATGTGCGAGCCTGTAAATTGACTCTTACATTCAAAACTTTTGATAAGTAAACTTCTATATCTTTGTGACTTGAGATTTGATGAAACGGAAGTACAGTATTTGACACAAGGTAGTTAGGTAGGTAATTTTGTAATAAACAAAGGAAACTACAAAACGAAAACGAAACCAACATAACAGATAATAGTACTAACTAATACTAGATGGCGATGATATTTCTAGCGCATACTGATTTAATATGGAACATTCTTAATAGAAATCTGATGTTTCTTTTATAAACCAATAAGAAATGCGCTCGGTTATATAACAGTCTGAGTTGTTACTGAATAACGTTTGCTCCTAAAATAAAACACGATTTCATTTTACTGTGCACGTTAGCGCCATCTAGCATATGAATTTGCGCGTGAATCGTGACATCTGAGCGCGCTCTTATTTAATTGTACTGGACTACAGTTACTCTGATACCTATTGGAATTTAAATACCTAAAGAGATCTAGTAAGCTGAAAATCAACTAAACTTTGTATGGACTGTCATAGTTTAGTATCCTATCCTATGTACCTATATAGTCGTTCTGCATAACAAAACTTTCAATATTTTTATAAACAAATAAGTTTTTTCAAATATGGCGGAAACGAATGCAGAATTTTGTAGTGATAACCAAACGAAAAACAATAATAAATATCATTGCTATTTTATATTCTTTCTTTTTGCGATTTTATTGGGTATAAGTAATTATTTGGGGGTTAATAAAAATCTTTTCCTTTTTTTTTCTAATGTTGTATAGATAACAATGCCGAAGCTGTGCGCGAGTCCGACTTCGCACTTGGCCACGTGTCAGTTATTTTTAAATTTATTAAGGAAATCTATTAGTCTTATATGTAAACAAAATTGAATAACATTTAAGTTTTGAATACAACGATATAAAATACCCTAGATACACCACGTGCACTCAAAATGTGTCCCAATCAAGAAGTGCTTGAACGCCACTCGAGCAGTTCTTGGTTCAAAGTCACGCGGGGACGGTTGAAAATTCAAGTTGCCGCAGAGCTCCGTGAAAAAATGCGAAATAAATACTATTAGTATGTAAACTGTCGTTTTTTCGACAGGTATCTAATCAATATTAGTTAATTTAACGCATTTGTTGAAAAAAATTGTTGTAATACTTACTAAATTAATTTAATAGAAAATATATGTGATATTCAAATGCATGGTCGGTTATACAGCCATCTCTTTTCCTTGCGGTTTGTACCTGCTATATTGCTTACTGCGCATTCAGAATTGCGCGTAGAGCCAAAGAAATAAGGCCTATATTCTTCCGCATACAGTAATAAGTCGTAAAATTTTACGAACTTGCATTTCGAAATGACATAACTCTTTGACGCATTAATAAACACCTTATACAGTATATTAAAGGTGACTTTCAATGTTTGAATAATGCCTTATATTTGTTTTGACAACTCGATCACCTTACGGAGCTCCGTGGATCGTCCAATGTACCTTTTGGACAGGTTTCGGGCACGATTTTGTTCGTGTTAGTGTATCTAGGGTATTTAATATCGTTGTTTGAATTAAATAAATACCTTCGTAGAACTTCGTGTAAAGCATGTCTACGTGCGCTCGATTGCCGGGCACTCGATACAAGCCTTCCGACGATAATCCTTCGCGTTCTATGAATTCCACGCACTTCTCCACGAATAGAGGCACGCCGTGTGGACCCTGTTTTTGTATATATATATAAAACTTAAAGAAATATCTATAAGGTAACAATTTAGTGTGTGCGATTGAAGTACGAATAAATAACCACGAAATATTCTTATAGTAAGTAGCACAAAATTAGTCTTTTTCTTTTCAGTATTCAAATGACATATCAGAGAGAATTGAAAATTCATATTGTTAAATAGTCAGTCAAATATTTGTATGACTGAAAACCTCGGATTGAACATATTCTATATTTATATTTTTTGCATACCTGAGGACCCCAATTCGCGGGTGACGCGGTTGTGGACATTTGTGACGAATTCTTTTTGGAATCTTTGCTCTTTGTGAACTCCTGGAAAAGAAAATTTCATATAAATTTTTGAAGTAAAATTTTATGATTGAAATTATAAAACATCGTTTTTAAGCGGGCAAGTAAGAAGACCTCGATGGCGCAGTGGTTCGATCTGCGGTCGTACAAAATAAAAAATTTCGGGTGACCGTAAAAAAAATATGTGTGATTGATTATTATCACGAGGTCCTCCGTGCTTCGGAAGGTACATTATTGAACAACTGTAGCTATTTATAATTTAATCCTCCCAATATTATAACTGTGAAACTTTGTTGATCAAACAAGCAAAAAACGGCTGAACCGTTTGAATGAAATTTGGCATACATAAAGGTACTGACCTGGATTGAAACATAGAATACTTTAAATCCCGGAAAATGACAGGTTCCCGAGGGATTATCTCAAAAACAAAATTAACGCGGATGAAGTCGCGGACGGAATCTAGTAATGTATATTACAGTATAATAATAATAAAAATATAATATCAGTAACCTTGTGCCGTCGATCGTGTTTGGAGAAGGGATGAGCTCTCCGCCTCGTATCGGCAGCGCTCGACGACGAATTCTCTTGCGCAGACGACGGATATTCGGCACCCAATATCTGGCCCAACAATTATTTTACAACAATAATAATCATTATTTATTTGCTAAAATATGGTACTTTAATGCGGCTAACTAAGGACCCAGAAATGTCGTTCAGTTCCTTCCGGCGACAGAATTAGACTTTATTTTTGACCTTGTTTTTACTGTTTGGCTCCTAGTGACAGCAAATGAAATATTGATGTGGGTTTCTTGATAACTAAACGAAATGATTGATAAATACTTTTTTTCTTTACTAATATAGATATGCGTCAGATGTGAATTCTGAGTTCTAACGCTACACTGTAAAGTGTACTTTATTCCGTCGACATTAGGAACCAAAACGACCTATCAGGACCGTATTCTGTCGTTGGCCGTACTTTCAATTAGTTTGCTGTAAATAAATAGAACGGACCAAATACGAGTTGCACTCGCAAATATACCCGCTTATTTCAAAACGTTGAATAAAACTAAGACCATATTTACGACTTTATCCGTTCCGAATTTTGAGCTGCCCTATCCCATTTTTCCATTTGCCATACTTCAGACCCAGGCACGCACTTTGACAGATCCTTAATCGGATAGTCATCATCATATTTTGTATAGAAAGAGCCAGTTTGTTCTTACGTCCGGTAGGGGGCACTGCTTCGTTATCAAAGAAACTTTGACGATGCGATGTGATACGATTACGGAGCTCTCAGAGTTAGTGCTCGGGCCTCTGTTAACTTTTGAAAGTTTGGAACAGAAAAGACTGTTGCATATAAAATAAAATTTATAATAAAAAGCGCTCAATACGCGATAACACATGTCAATCCATAAATGGAAAAAACCTTAGGAAAATCCCTTAAACAAACGTCAAAATACATTAAACTATCAATTTTTTTTACACTGTGAGATTACTAAAACCTGTGTAAACGGTATACATACCTATTTATTTCTTAGGTTTTCACGCATATCACTCATTAAATAAAACTAGTTTTTACGGGTTAGATGTACTGAATTTATTTATTTATTGACGTTTCGCAGCCTTTTCAGGTCTGCGTCGTCTGAATAATGATTTTTTATTTACTTTGTCGAGCTACCTCCGAAAGACTTTTATTGAGCGTTCGGATATTTCATTGGAAGATATTTAAAACCTTATTGTCTATGTACGAATTTATTAGCTTATTCGATTAATAAAGTACTTTATTTAAAATTATTTTTTGTAATTTTGAGTTTATTTATTTGACCCCAACTACCGTAAACTATCACCGGTTCCAAAATTGGGAGACATTTCTGAGAAGAATCAGCGAAACAAACTCAGAGAGGCTACCTATCTCCTTCTTATGTTAAATCATGCGAACATGCTTTATATCTCCTTCTTATTTTAAATCATGCGGTATACATACCTTATGGGCGGGTTCGTGATGCGGTGGTAAGGGTAAAGGCCTCGGCCTCCGCGTTTCGCCATCGGAACTGCCTTCACTAGATTCGCTAGCAGCTATAAAACAGTATAACAATGAAACAAATACAGGTCAGATTTCAGCAAGAAAATATTATATTCAATAATTATACTTTCTTCGAAAGCAGGGAGCTAATTGCCTAAATGCAGTTCCTACCGGAATAAAAATCAATAAAAAAAATATCACATTGTTAAAAGAGCGATGTCGTGGTGTGAAGTTCGTGAATATCTTTTAGATGTTGAAGAAATACCAACTAACCCCTATTTCCAAACAAACTCTTCAGCTTCATATTATAGTATAGATTAAAAGAATTAAAGTTAAAACAGTAAGTAATTAACTAATTGTAGTTTAATGCAATGTAAATTAAATGGTGACTGTGAAGTTAGCTCAGCTCACGGCTTGACTATACCTTCGCGTAGTTTCACTCTTTACGAACTTCACAATCGTATTAAATTTTGCATTATACCGGCACTTCACTTGGTTATTCGTGTTTGCTTTTAGTAAGTTGGACATGAGTCTGTCCTTTTCATTACTTACAAAGCATGATAAGGACAGACTTTTGTCAAGTTTACGAATAGCAAATACGAATAGCCAAGTGAAGTGCCGGCATTACAAATTACGAAACTCTGTAATTTAGCTTAAGATTTATTATATAAATTTATGTTCTGATTCGTGATATTGAAAATAAGCTGTTCACTTTCAAATTTTTTACATATAATAAAATGGTAGGAAAGTCAAAACTGTACATTGAAAATTTTTTTAAAAGAATACTTGGGGTGTGATCTCAATCGATACCGAAGCCAAAAATATAGTTTTTAGAATTTTTGTCTGTTTGTCTTTATGTATGTCCGGGATAAACTCAAAAAGTACTGCATGGACCTTCAAATTTGGCACGGATATTATTAAGAAGTCGGGTCAAATTATAGGCTAAATATTATCACGAAACTCCACCCTAAGGGGAGGAAGGGTAATACGGGGATTGGAAGTTTGTATGAAAGTCCTATGTTTTTGAAGTAAAAGACTTGAAATTTAACATGTATGCTCTATAGATGGTGTGGAGGTGTACTAATAATACTTTAGAAATAAACCCCCTTTTGGGATCAAAAAGTATGTGCAAATAACTAACTCCACGCGTACGAAGTCCCGGGCGGCCGCTAGTTAACAAATAATTGTCGAAGTTACCTTTATCCTCTTGCGTTCTGGCCCGATAACTAGTTGGCAGTTCAGGTGGTCCCACAAACATGCCCAACTTAGGCACTCGCGGACTTTGCACGGCGACTAAATTACCTAACGACCTATTGGTAGAAAAAAAAGTTTAAAGCCATTAGAAACTTTGATATATATATATATATAGATGTGTGATTTTTAGTATATAAACTGTTGCAAAAATTTCATTGCAATTAAGCATATTAGGTAGGATATTACGAATGAGTGTTTTTATAAGAAAATCGTTATAGTTGTAGCGTAGTAAGCTTTATAAATGAATCTTGAATTACAAGAACTGTCCCTGTCCGAGGGTATATCTATTTATTTCAGTAAATATCTATGTCACCGTTTCTTGTAATGCCTGGACTGTGTTAAGCATTGTGAAGCTTAGTGGCCATACTATTCTACCGAAAGAACATTCGTCTCCTACATCCTTACTGGTTGACTGGAGGAGAATGCCTATGGCATTAAGTCCGCCGTTTACTGTTTAGGTAATAAAGAATAAAAATAAATGAATATCTCACCGTTTCTTGTAATGCCGGGGCGCGTGATGAGCGTTATGCCTACGTCGCGTGTGCGATCTCGCGCCCGCACCGGAAGCTTCACTAGAACCGGAACTGTCTGTCTCCGAGAATGCTGTAACGAGTTAATTTTAACATTTATAAGAATAATACACATATCGTCACTTTCATAGTAAAAATTTTGAAAAATACCTATATAAAAACACAATCATACCCAAACACAAGACGTATTATGTACGACAAATTTTAAGAGTAGAGTAGTAGTATTTTCCGTTGAAGTTTTGTGTTTTGTAATCGGTTGGTTTACGTCAGCCATCTTTACACTCCCGATCAACATGTTGATGCGAGCGTGCATTGTCTATCTTATTTGTTAAATTCTTGTTATTTCCTTGTTTTATATTTTTTTACTGTTAAGTTTAAAGTTGTTAATAAATTATAGGTTACATAAATTATACCTAATCATTGACTAGTAAGTACTTGCTGACATAATAAAAGTTTTAAACCTCAGATTCCTTGTTTACATTTTGTCTCACGCCAAAGTGAATAGACTATAGGTATACAATTTGAAGGCAAAACAAACACAAACATTACGATTACTCTTAACTTATTCTAAAATGTGATAAAAAAATAATAGCAATGTGTGAATAGACTAATATTGTTTGTGAAAACGTAAAAGTAGAATTAACTTTTCTGTCATTGGCCAGAATTAAGACTTTAAACTCTATTAAAAAAATAATATTTGGACAATAGCGACCCTAACCGCCACGCATTACAAACATACAATAAACGTTCAATCAACATACGGCTTTCGTCGTTACTACGGCCAATAACGACCCCTTTTTTAAGTGTTTCTTTCTTTCTTTCTTTCTTTTGCAAGCGATTGTATGACAGAGAAAGCACTACAATTTCGTGAATATAGTAGAGATAGAGTATTTTAAATAAGTAATTAAAAATACAATGCAAAATTAATTTTGCTACCACAATAATGATTTAGTAATTTGCACTCACAAGGTTGATGTAAAGGCGTCTTTTCGTGCCTCCGATGTCTCCTCAGCCTCATCATTGACGGCGCTTCCATATATTCGTTGGGTTCTTTAATCTAAAACAACAACAGAAAAAAACATCTCTGAATGATAAATACGGCTACAATATGCTATTTACAAGTTTCTACAGGCTCTTTAATGGTAAGTGCTCCGAGGAGATGTTCCATATTCGTATTGTAAAGGTTCTTTCGTGGTGAGTTCTCCGAGGAATTGTTCCATTTAATACCCACAGCACCATTTTACCACTTGTCACCGGAGTCGAGTTTACCCAAATTACCTGGAAACACTGAAGTCCACAACTGTTTGTTTCAAAATCAAAATTATGGAATGAGCTCCCCACTACGGCGTTCCCTTAGTACTGTATGGTTCATGGTAAAAACCCCCTCTACGGTGATGATAAAAAAAACAATGTCTCACCACCAAATTGAGAATCTAATTCAGTCTCGGAACTAACGCCGGACGGATGGTGGTGGTGTCCGCTTTGTAATTCGAAGTGGAGTATACAACGTGTATCAGAAATAATGCACAACCCGAAAGTATTTTAGACTCTTTTTTCATTGAAATCGAGTCAGAAGCCAAATCCAACCAAACCACTTTCGGAGTGTGCGTTATTTCTGTTACACTTTGTATATTGTGTGTGTATTCTCCGTGTCACCTGAGCGTATAGCACATCCAAAAAAGTTCTCGGAACTAACGCCGGACGGATCGGTTTGTACTTCAAAGTAGAGTATATATTATCGGTCAGTGAAGTATATATTGTGATTCTCTGTCTCACCTGAGCGTTTAGCACATCCAACTCAGTCTCAGAACTAACGCCAGACGGACCGCTTTGTAATTCAAAGTAGAGTATATATTATCGGTCAGTGAAGTATATATTGTGATTCTCTGTCTCACCTGAGCGTTTAGCACATCCAACTCAGTCTCAGAATTAACGGAATTATAATAATATATTATCGGTAAGTGAAGTACAGGCAGTCATCGACTTACGTCATTTCGATTTACGTCGTTTCAAGTTAAGTCAAACAATGTTTTGACACTATTCCTCAAGCATACGTCAATTGATTCGATTTCCGGCATAGGAGAATTCACTAGTCGCGAGGTCAATGTCCGTGGGGATGTCTCGACTTACGTGGTTTTGATTTACGTCGCGTATTTCGAGAATCTTACATGCCGTAAATACGAGGACTGCCTGTATATATCATCGGTAAGTTATGTATATATTGCGATTATCTGTCTCACCTGAGCGTATTGAACATCCAACTCAGTCTCGGAACTAACGCCGGACGGATGATGGTGGTGTCCGCTTTGCTGCGAGCTAGAATGCGACCAACCCGACCGCTGGGACTGCGAGCAAACAACGTAACATGAGCCGTTTTCTTTGCGTGGTTTATTAGAGCAAGCTATTATGTATGCAAGTTATAGAATATGGGATATTATTATGGAGCTCAATGGCGATAGCCATTGACATACAAGGGAAGAGCTAAAATTAATGCCTAAACTGCAGAAGCACAGGCCTTTCCTAAATTGACAATTACGTACACGCTAGATAGATTGCTCTATCTAGATTTTCTTATTTAGAAAAGGCCTGTGCCTCTGTAGCGGAGGGATTAATTTTAACTTCTCAGTTATATGGTATATTATTATGGAGCTCGATGGCGCAAGTAGTTAGCGCATTCGGCTGCAATCGTTGATGTTAAGCAACTTTCGCAGTGGTCGGTCATTGGATGGGTAACCAAAAATTTACTATCTAGAGCTCCTCCATGCTTTCAAAGGCAGGTTAAACCGTTGGTCCCGGCGGCATCTGCAGTCGTTAACACCCACCAATCCGCAGTGCGACCGCGTGGTGGGTCATTCCATCCGTAAGGCAGGCCTGTGCCCCACCGTGGGAACATTAATAGGCTGATGATGATCAGATATTATTTAAGCTAATGAAGCTTACCTTTCTTTCCCTGGTGGGCGGAGGGCCTATCGTGATATGTTGAAGTGCGTCGCTCACCATTGTGTAGTTATTCATATCTAATTTTCCAGGTTGCTGAAAAGAATAATTAAATGATACAAAATACTCATGAATGGGGAAAAAACGGCTCCTTTATCTCTACATTGAGATTTTATTAATATTATTTTAATCAAAAAGATATCACATAAAATATAAAGTTCTGTTACATGCTAAATAGCAGCTTTCGCAATGGCCCTGGCATATGATGGAGACAACAAGAAAAATACTGTCTCGAATTCCTCTATGCTTTTAAAGATACATTTAACTGCTGATACTGACTGCATCTGCACACGTTCGTATCCAAAAATTCGCAATAGGTGCATTTGATGGGTTACAGCCCCATATTCCATCCATAAGGTAGACTCGTGCCCAAGCAGTAGGAATATAACTATGCGATTCAAATAAGAATAGGAAAGTCAATGACGTCCATCTGTCAAATGTCGCTTGAAAAGTACGGTTTGCAAAAAAAAACTTTAAACACTTTTTTTAGCACTGAGTTAATCTATATATATAAAAATGAAACCCGTTTTCCGTTGTCACGACATAACATGAAAACGGCTTGACCGATTTGGCTGTTTTTTTTTTTGTAGTTTTCTAATACTCTGTACAAGGTTCTTATGGAAAAAAATATAAAGAAAATCCCAAGGGGATAAAATAAGGAATGAAAGTTTGTATGAAACTTTATCAATTTTAAACCGATCGGGCTGAGACTTTGCATGCAGGTATAAGAAGAATCATAGATGAATGTCATTGTGTATAATACAAGCCTGAGAACAAAAACTGTAGTCTACACTTCAGCTCTACACCGAAGCGAAGCGAGGGCGGGCCGCTAGTCTTACAATAAATACCAAACATTTGTAAACAAAAGAAGGAAATAAATCATATGGAACGTATAGAAAATTAGTACTGGTAAAGGGAAATATAAGAACTTTAGTTTTATTTTAAATACAGGTAAAAAAATAGCATTTTTATTTTAAATAAAGTTGTTTAGTTAAATTCAGCAGTGATGATGATGACTACTCCGACGGTAGGCCAGGTTTGAATTGACAGCTATGGCGTCACAATATGGCGCCCAGTCGGTCCTATTCTTAGTCGAATCGCATTGTCCTACATTATGTAACGTGTTAAAAACGTTACATGGATCTCCTTCGCTCGAAGAGCGAGATAGAAGATTTTTTTTGGTTGTCTCTTTGGTCGTTTTTATCTCGCGCCCATTTTCTGTAATCTGTGCACTTTTGGGTAAGTGTGTTTCTGCCTTTATCGAGCAGTAGGCTGAATGGACATTGTTCTCTTTGCCTACCGCCAAGACAAACTAAGAAAAGAACGGTCACTTCACTTCACGACCAAAATTTTTAAAAGAAACATGTGAAAATCATAATCGTAATTTTTATCATGATAATCCATTGGATTTTCGATTGTTTTTGATGGTAAGTGTTTTTCCAAATTCGAAAAGTGTTTTAATTCACATATTTCAATGATTTACCTTAGACTTAATTTCTTTTACAGATATAACATTTTGCAGCTTTTGATCGGAATGGCGGGTATCGCATTCCAAGCTTAATTTGTTTAAAAAACGGTAAGAATCTTAGAGTTTTCCTTAGTTTTACTTTTTTTCCTTTGTTGTGAGTCATGTGCTAATCTGAGGAATATTTATTTTCAGCGAAAAGCGTTTTTTTTTTATTTGGATTTTATAATCAACTTTCAACATTTCCCATGATGAGAAAGTGAACAGTCCCGTGATGTAACAGCGACATCCCTTAAGTATTACAACCCAGACACAGCCACTACACAGATGCAACAAGTTCGGTAACTTTCCAAATTCATTGTTGTACCGGAACCCATAAGGTAAAATTTTCATTTACATCTTAGCAGCCATAGTATAATAAGTAGTTTCTAAATTTAGCAGTAACCCTTTTGGACTTAAGTAGTTTTGTAGTAAATTTAAATAAATCGACAACCCAAAATGAATATGGTTTTGCAATCAAGCCTTCTCTTGTGATTAATAGTCCATTGCTTTCCCGGCTAATATGGTTTAATAATATGGTATGGGTCTGGCGCCCGAGTACTCTTTTTTTCCATTAATTTCGACCTATCCATTTAAAGTAATTTTCAAAACAAACTTTTTATTTTTTAATATTACAATTACCAATAGCTTATGAATCATAGTTTACCTTTAAAGTCTGCGAATGTCTAGGGCGTTGGGGTGGCGGATGAGGTCTTGTTCGTCCCGTTGTAAAAGCACGGTGTCCATAGCTTGGTGGTTGCCATAGTCCACCGCCATCTATATAACCAACATCAAAAGTAGCATAAATTACTTCCATAACTTTGTAAGCCCGCAAACCCCAAACATTTTATAAACATTAAAACTCAAACTGTTCGCTTTAAACTTGATAAAGTTTCCACTAGTATTTCCAAGTGAGCCAATATTTCTATAAAACACTTTTGAAATTGCTAAAAAAACTTATTTTAATATGTTATCGTAAACTTAATTTTAATTGAAAATCACTTGCAGCAATCGAACACCGAATAAAATAACGATATTTTTTGATAACATTCTAAATATTACTACTTGTCTAAAGTAGCTAACGTTGTTATGTAGTTCAGGGTAGAAACTACAAACGTCCTACAACCAACTCATTCCATACAATCTTCAGTTTAGAAGTTAACTATGTACTATGACACATAATAAGACACATAATTTACTTAAACTTAATAACCTTATTGTATGTGATGTTTTTATTTATTTTTAAGCATTTAACTGCCAGTTGTTTAAATCTAAAGCTAAAGCTTAATGTATGTGTCCAAATCGTAAAATATTTTTCATTTCCTAATCCTGTAATTCCTGTTGCAATAATTATTTCCAAAAGAGAAACAATAATTTAGTGAATATATAAAATAAATTTATAATAAAAAAGTAAAAACACAACTATTTATAAAAAAAATCAAAAAAACGCAATCCTAATCAAAATTAATAAACATGGAATAATCTTAGACTAGTTACGCCGTCTTTTGTTCATGTCACAGAGACAAAAAATGGAGTAACTAATCCAAGCTTAGTCTTCGTTTATTAATAAGGGGAAATGTGTTTTAACCTAGCAATTCTTTGTAAATCATCATGCAATATACCAAAAATAATAAAAAAAAAAAATTCGCCACCGATGTACAATGACTTTCCTCTACCATAAACAAAAGTAATCACAAAGTAACAAATAATCTAGTGTACGGCATGCAAATTATGAACAAAAAGTTGCATTCGTCGATATCATTACAAAAAACAATCTGTGACACAACAAATCTATCTACAAACAAAAATCAACTCTCCCCATGTGATAATAAGGTACGTTTTTGCTTCATGCAATCACCTGATTCGTGTGTGCTCAGCGAATCCTCGGAGCAGTTGAGATCCGCTGCGTTTATTAGAAATTCGTTTAAAATACAAATACTTTTTTTCCATAATCATCTGACTGTCTTTATATTTTAACGATCTCCGTGGCCGAGTGCTATGTACACCGGGTTCCATGGTGACGCCTACTCGAGAGGTCCCGCGTTCGAATCCCGGTGGGGGCAGATGTTTTTGTGATGAAAACGAGCATTTGTACTCCAGTCATGGATGTTTAATGTGTATTCCTATATAATTATATATGTATTAGTAAATGTATTCTATCCGTTACCCTAGTATCGCATAACACAAGCCTACAGAGCTTACTTTGGGGCTAGGCTAATGGGTGGGTGTTGGAAATATTTATTTATATATTTATGTTTGACCACCTATTCAAAATTATTTTTAAAAATTAAATAAGCAAGTGCAGATCTTTGCCTATAGGTAAAACCTCGTTAAGTTTTAATTCAATACTTATATAAAAGTATAAGACATTTTTTACTATAGTCCCTATTGCTTACGCTGGATTTATCGTTTAATTAGACAAACAACATAAGAGTTTCACACTTAGGAAATCTTAATGGGCTTCGAACCCGATACTTTCGAAAATCCTATATTCCGAAGGGAACCTTCGAAATTTACAATTTATATTTGGGTTTCCAAAAATATATTTACATATATTGAAGCTCATAACGAATATTTGTTTCTTAGTTTTTCACACACATCACTCACTAAATAGAACAAGTTACAACGGGTTAGATGCACTGATTTTATTTATTTTTTGACGTTTCGCAGCCTTTGCAGGAATGAGTGATGTACCAGCATAAGAATAAAGTCATTATTCTGATCATCTGACGACGCAACCTGCAAAGGCTACGAAACGATAATAAATTATTAAAATCAATGCATCTAACCCGTTGAACCTTGTTTTATCTCACAACGAATTCACAAACATCATTGTACAGCACCATTTTCTGATTTTACACAGCAAAAGAAATGTTATTTGTAAAATATAATCCTTTTTGGCAACATACAATGCAATATAAGAAGACAATTTAAGTAATATTTTAAATATTAAAGAGTTTAGAAATTTATTGAAACTTACGTGAAAGGTCATGCATTCTATGGTCAGGCGGTGCTGGCTCTGGTGGCGTGCTAGGCGGTGGATAAACACTAAAACCTAAGAAATAAAACACAAATTAATTTTTATCAGTACTAATATGAGGAGCTTGGTAACGGTTTGCTATCATGAAAGTTAAGCGACTTACACCATGGACGGTTATAGGATGGGTAACCATAAAATCTTTGGTTCGGAAGGCAAGTTAAGCGTTGGTCCTGGATGCATCTGCAGTCGTTAGCACCCCACCAATCTGCACTGGGTTTCGCGTAGTAGATCATAGCTCAATCTACTTATTCCATCAATAAGGTAGATCTGTGCCTCAGTAGTACGAACATTGGATAGGCTGATGATGATTTATTTATTTATTTATAAAGGTACATTAAACAGCCAAAGTCCTGCAAAAATATACACAGCTGGAATAACATAAGTGTAAGGATTCGATAACAATAATGAATAGTGATTTTGAATTCAAATCTTAGGAGCAGTATATTTCTAAGTGTATTGAAATTAGGACTAATTTAATATTAAATTTGCTTGCAAAAAATTTGAACTTACCCGTAATTTTGAACTTTGGAAAAATGTATACAACCTCCGAAAATGCACTTTTTTGAGCAAATTTGTTAAAAATATTACAGTAATGCGTATAAAGACTCACCTTTCAAGAAGCCCCTATTCTTGTTGTTCATAGTGTCGCTATATTCGGAGTCGATGTCGGCGCGAGAGTCAGGACCAATGAGGAGATCCAAGGAGTTGGTCAGTTTGTGTTCCATCCTGGATAAACCACTAGTCCTTTAGCCACATTTAAAATTAAAAAATGTATAATGCTACTTTGCTTACGTTCGTAAAAGCTAATGTATGATGCCATAATAATTGGCAAATATGTGTGAATACTAGGCCCGCAGGTCACGGCCTAAACTCGCTATTCCATCCATAGGGTAGGCCTGTGCCCCAGCAGTGGGGACATTAATAAGCTGATGATAACGTAAGAATAGTCAAGAATGGTAAAACAGAAAAAGAAGTTGATAATGACAGTGTCTTGTGGAACTCAGTTCTCTTTACCTACTTCGCCTATTAGGAAATGTGTGTTACGCTATTGCATTTTATATGGTATTTTTCATTTTTTATAAGCGGCCACCATATTCTACAAACTATTACGAAATCAGTGTACACAATCGCGCCCAAACTGGCTCTATCCTCTACCCCATGGAGCCCTAGAAACTTTGTCACTAAACACAACACCACCGAAAGGTAGTGTAACTAAAGGTCAAGTGTAACTAAAGATCTAGTGTAACTAAAGGTCAAGTGTAACTAAAGATCAAGTGTAACTAAAGGTCAAGTGTAACTAAAGATCAAGTGTAACTAAAGGTCAAGTATGGTAAAAATAAAAAACAACTGATATTTTTTTGTTTCTAATGTTGCAAAACTAATGCTAGAACTATTTATGTCGTATTTGATGGTGACTCACTTTTGATAGTGGTAAGAGTGGTTTCTTGGGGGTGGTAAAGTCCAAGCAAAAGCCAAGTCTGGCAGATAGTGATGGGATGTTCCATACTCTATTAGACTATGGATATATACAGGGTGTACAAACACCTTCGACACAGGAGAAACCCGCATTATATACATCAAAATAAACAACTTAGAAAAAAACTGTTTCTGAGTAACTCTTTATTTTTGTTGGTTTTTAAAATAAATTTTAAACAGTACTACGCAATATATCGCGCGCAATAGCACGCACGCACGCGCGGCGTTCGGCTCTGACTTGAATCAAGAGCTGCGTTCGGTATTTGCATCGCAGAGGCGACGGTTTTTGGTCACGTGATCACAGATTAATCTGAGCAAATTGCCAAAAGCGAACGGCCCGAACAACCGTAGATTAATTTCAAACCTCAAACAGAAACCAACCGCACAACATGACATATACATGACAGTTATCAGATTAATTTTTCTCGTAGGGCAAAATACTCCGAGCAAACAAATTTACATCGGACTGATCTGAGCGGAATTACCGAACGCTTCAGATTTACTCTAGATGTAATAAACAAACGATTTAGACTTAAAAGTTTAGAAGACAGATGCAATTACCGAATGCAACTATTGAAAAGCAACGTAAACGCTGTAAGATGACTGGCAGCTTACAAAATATGATAATAACACGCTTAATATCATAAATAGATATCAGATCTTAGACTGTAAGTTTGTGTTTTTTGTTTCCGATATTTAAGTGTCTGGCATTAAATACTACTGACGAAATGTCTGGTAGTATTAATTTCAAATTGTTTACATTATCTACAACATACGTAAGAATCTCAAGTGGCGACCTCCGAAGCCGATTGGTTTGTATGGTTCATGGTGTCGCCGACTCGACAGGTCCCGGGTTCCAATCCCGGTGGGGGCAGATGTTTGTATGATGAATACGAGCATTTGTACACCAGTCACGGATGTATAATATGTATTTCTATATAAATATACTAATATATATGTACAGTATATGTATTGTATCCGTAACCCTAATATCCCATAACACAAGCCTACGGTGCTTATTTTGGGGCTTTAAAGAAATACGTAAAATTTTGATAGTGTTTCTTTGGTTAGAAATTAAGTAATAATTTTTACAAAATGTTTCCATACAGATCTTGATAAAAAAATATGACCTTCAATAATTCGTAACTATTGATTTACCAGGTATAGTCTAACAGACAAAAATGGTCCTGATGATGGGTAGAATGCGTGGTTTTCAGCTATTTCGAAGGTCTTTTTACACCCTGTATATAATGGGAACTTACTTGTGGTTGTGGTAGGAGTGGTTTCTTGGGGGTGGTAAAGGCCGCGCAGAAGCCACGTCTGGCAGATTGTGAGGGGGTTGTTCCATGCGGAAAGCGCGTTCGATTTCACCCTTCCTCTCCCACACTTCTTTAAAGAATGGTGTGTAGAACGCCGCTGCACAAGAGAGATTTACTCATTTATTAAGGTTCGCCAAAAACAAAAACCTCATTACAATCTAAACAAAAAAATATAGAGGTATCCAATAACTCAATGATATTGTTATTCTAAGACAAACACAATATGTAAATGAATAAATTTTAATTTTTGAAAAGATACAAAAATAGATCTATCTTTAATTTAATTCTGCCGAAACTCACCAAAGCTTATTACCAATATAAAAATGCAATAAACTTACATATTATATTCTCAGCACTGGAGGTATATACAGTAATGGAGGAATTTACACAATCACTCAAAACCAAAATTTTACGTAATTTAGCACACATACAGTTTATTACCTGGTTTGAGACATAGGAGAATTTCTATGCCGAAAAAACGTTTAGTTCCTGTGGAATTCCTAAAAAAACTAACTATATCACACCTATAAACTTATATTCATTGTCAGCACTGGATGTATATGTGGTGAAATGCGCCGCCAGCCTGTCGGCAGTCGCGTTGCCCTCAGTGATGAGCGCGTGTCCAACGTCGGTCATCTACCAATCTACACTTACATTTGTTCTCAGCACTGGAGGTATATGTGGTGAAATGCGCCGCCAGCCTGTCGGCAGTCGCGTTGCCTTCAGTGATGAGCACGTGGCCAACGTCGGTTATCTATCTATACCCACATTTGTCCTTAGCACTGGAGGTATAATGTATGTGGTGAAACGTGCGGTGATTACCTACTCCTACTACTTAAAAAAAATGTAAGTATGTATGTTTTTTATAAAATCACTCAAAACCACAATTTCACGTAATTTAGCATACATAGAGTTTATTGCCTGTTTTGGGATATAGGAGACTTTCCATCCCGAAAAATGTTAGGTTTTTGTAAGATTCCCAAAAACTAAAGTCGCGGATAAAGTTGCGTGCGGTCGCTAGTTACATTCCTGTGGAAATCCCAAAAAAACTCACTAAAACACACCAATAAACTTACATTTATTCTCAGCACTGGATGTATATGTGGTGAAATGCGCTGCCAGCCTGTCGGCAGTCGCGTTGCCCTCAGTGATGAGCGCGTGGCCGACGTCGGTGCCGAAGAACGCACTCGCCGCGGAGCCGCCGCCATCGGTGACAGCAACCATTTGTATGGGCAGGTTGGGGATGTTCATTGAGAAGGCGCTGCGTAAACACCCAGCCACATATTACGACAGACACATTACTTCTATGCAAAAAACTAAAATAAGCCTACGTCCTATCCTACTTTCTATTAAATCACACTAATATTATAAAGTTGGTGACCGCGACCATTTGTATGGGCAGGTTGGGGATGTTCATTGAGAAGGCGCTGCGTAAACACCCAGCCACATATTACGACAGACACATTACTCCTATGCAAAAAAGTAAATAAGCCGATTTCGTATCCTACTTTCCTACTATATCGCACTAATATCTACATATACATACATACAATAAAATGGTAGGAAATTCAGAACTGTACATTAAATATTTTTTTAAAAGAATACTTGGGGTGTGATCTACTATCGATACCGAAGCAAAAATATAGTTTTTAGAATTTTTGTCTGTTTGTCTGTACGTATGTCCGGGATAAACACAAAAAGTACTGCATATATTCACTTAAAATTTGGCACGAATATTATTAAGAGGTCGGGTCAACATATAGGCTACATATTATCACGCTATCGCCTACGGGGAACGAGCAGTGAACCTTTATTTCTAAGTCTACGCGTACGTAGTCGCGGCGGCCGCTTGTGTACTATAAAGGCGAAAGTTTGTGAGTGTATGAAAGTGTATGTTTCTTACTTCTTCATGTCTAAACGGCTGGAGCGATTTTAATAAAATTTGGTATGGAGTTAGCTGACACCCTGGATTAACACATAGGCTACGTTTTACCGCGGGAAAATATGCCTAATAGACCGCGGGTAACACGGCGGGGCACAGCTAGTAATATTATAAATGTAAAAGTTTGTGTGTTCGTATGTTTGTTACTCAATCACGCAAATACTACTGAACTGGTTTGGATGAAATTTTGTACACTTATAGTTTATGACCTGGATTGAGATAAAGGATACCTTTTATACCAGAAAAATGTTAGGTTCCTGTAGGATTTCCAAAATACTAAAGTCGCGGACGAAGTCGCGTGCGGTCGCTAGTATAATTACAAATGTGAAATTTTGTATGTTTGTTACACGAAAACCTACTAAACTAATTTAGATGAAATTGGGTACGCATATTCTTTATGACCTGGATTAGGAATAGGATACCACAGATACTGTACTATTGACTGATACAATAGAAAATTAAAAATAAGAGAACACATAAATTAATTTTATCCTTTTAATAATAACAATATACTTACTTTAAAGTAGCTAAACTGGCCTTCCTTTTGGCCGAGTATATGAGTATGAAGCCGTGTATCAATTCCTCCCTGAACTGCGTTGCTCCATGAAAACTCGATATGATTACCTGAGCACAAAAAAGTAACTTTTATTTTATGAACAATCTTATGCCGGTCATTGACTTGGCTATTTGTATTTCATCATCAGCCTATTTATGTCCCCACTACTGCTGGGACCAACGGCTTGACGTGCCTTCCGAAGCACGGAGGAGCTCGAGATAGTATTTTTTTTGTTCACCCATCCAATGACCGACCACTGCGGAAGTTGCTTAACTTCAACGATCGCAGCCGAACGCGCTGAGCTCTTGCGCCATCGAGCTCCTCCTATTTGTATTTGCTATTTACAAACTTGACACTTAGACCATTAAACCACTGGACTAAGTACGCGCCTAATTTTACTCAGTGCAAAGTCTGTCACTTTTTAAGGGGGACGGGGTAAACCACTACATTAAAATAAACTCACACAGCCTTAGTTATTTGTATTGTTACAATCGCCTACAAATATATTTTTTCACCTACGCACACTAATGACAATCACAGGTAATTATAACTAGGGAAAGTTCGGTATCGATATTTTAGTTTTCTTTAAATAACAATATCGGTAGGTTTTCTTGTTCTCAAAGATTATTTTATAAAATAAAATATGACAACGGAAAAAATAAGTCCGGGTCTTTTAATACTCTCACTGGCACAATTACCCAATCACTTATAATTTTTCCTAAACTTAAAAAATCGTTTCGTGGGAGAAAATCTTAAATGTCATTTGTTTTATGTATATATGTTCAATTCTTTTTATCTGTCAAACAGTCGTTTCAACATAGGTACAGTCTTGTCCATAAAATGTGTGTTAAAGGACATGGTAAAGTTTTGTATGAGCGACTGCCCTGACAATATATAAATACTGTACTTAGTAATATTTAATGGTAAATGGCTGAATATTTATAATTTCTATGAAAAAAGGCTCAGGAACTCTTGATAAAGTCACAATCTTGAAAATTATGAGAACTCCTACTATGTCATTACCTTACTACGGTTGATAAAAGATGTTGCCAATTATTTACAGAGTCATCAATTTCGCATTTTCTTAGAATCTTTCTTCCCATTTCTCTGATTAACTCTTCACAGAAAGTGTTTTTAAAGCAAAAATAAATACAAATCGAGCCCTTACCGCCAAATTATCGTAAGCGACACTTTTGTCGAAATGCGTTTTTTGTGGAAACTAATATTTTAAACCGTAACGGACCCATCTCTGTTGATATTTCCCTCCAAAAGAACACCGTTATAATATAATAGAGGGAAGAATAGAGGGAAATATCAACAGAGATGGGTCCGTTACGGTTTAAAATATTAGTTTCCACAAAAAACGCATTTCGACAAAAGCGTCGCTTACGATAATTTGGCTAGTGTCGCTTACGATAATTTGGCGGTAAGGGCTCGAAATAGTTTGTTATCGTCGGCCTGACAGGAAATCTATGAAGTTTTATGTTGTTCATTTGCAAAAATTAAAGGATTAATTATCATACAGCCTTGTCTCAAGCCTGATCAGAATAATAAAATCTATTATTATAGGCCTTCAGTGATTTGTTTTGATAAAAATTAGGACCAAATATGTCATAGTTTGAAGGAGTTTAGAAATAATATTGTTTAGTCGATATACTTACACAAATATTTTTTGTGTACATTTATTGTTCATTTATTGTTCATTTATTTTGTAAAACGGAACATTTTGCTATTTAAACAGACATGAAGTAAATTTTAATACTTTTAAAGATTTGATTATTTCACGAGTTGTATGAGGATAATAAACACGTAATAATTAATAAAAAATATTGTAAAGTTACTGGCCAGTGCGAAATATTTATACACGTTAAGGGCAGTTTCTTAGCCATGTCCTTTAACGATTTCGACAATAAAAAAATATTGCTACTGTAAGTGTAGATGGCCAGAGGTAAATTAAAATGAAATAAAAATACTTTAAGACATTATATTAAAACTTTTATTGAAAAAAAAATATGGGTGCGTGTACTTAAGTACGCGCGTGAGAAGTTATACTTCTTTTTGGAATTATTAATAAATAGTTTTTAATTGCATGCAGATAATTAATTAAAATAAGATAATAAAAGGATTGGAAAAGGATAGTCAACGCAGTCAATAAAGTTCAGTTTTAATTTGAAAAATTTAATAAATAATCAAAATATTCAATTTAAATCACTACTAATTAAAATTTATTAGCACATATAAATTTCGCATTTGTATAACATTATAACACGTGTTAAGAATATAGAAACTAGAAACATGTGGATAAATATTATAAATATGAAAACAGTGATCAGAGGCGACGAGCGTCCCAACATGTGCGACTAAGAGATCCTATTACTATTTTGTTGGAAGCTTTTTTTGGAACGAAAGTTCCTTATGGCAGGCTTGGAGGATAGGGATTTTGCTGCGCGGCCGAACTGAAAAAAATGTGATAGTAAAACCGTAAGAAAAAATGCGTGGAATAAAACCGTTAAATGAGACTTGAATATTAAGTACCAGGATATCATAACCATAAAGGTGGTACAAGAGTAAGTTGTAGGTGACGGAGTACGATGTTCGCTATTCAGTAGTCTATACTTGCAGGTTTAGTACCAGGATATCAAAATCATATGGTGGTGGTTGTGAGGTCGAAAGTTCCTTACGGCAGGCTTGGAGGCGATAGGGATTTTGCTGCGCGACCGAACTGAAAAAAATGTGATAGTAAAACCGTAAGAAAAAATGCGTGGAATAAAACCGTTAAATGAGACGTGGTGTGCTGCGTTTTAGTGGCATTATTACCAGGACTATATAACTCGTTGAGATACAACAACAAAATTATTTGCAATTTATTGAGGAAATACGATGTTGTTATTCAGTACACACTTGAAGATTAAGTACCAGGATATCATAACCATAAAGGTGGTACAAGAGTAAGTTGTAGGTGACGGAGTACGATGTTCGCTATTCAGTAGTCTATACTTGCAGGTTTAGTACCAGGATATCAAAATCATATGGTGGTGGTTGTGAGGTCTTTCTAGAGCGAGGGAGACGACCAGGCAGCTTTCCAGCTCACAGCGAATAATGTAGTGGATTATCGATTATATTTATAAGGCTTAGTACCAGGACAACATAATCTTAAAGGCGTTGTAATAATAGTATGAATCGTACCGTGTATGATGTGCTATGATTATGATGATATGATGGTGTGTCCATGCGTGGATTTTTTATTTTGTTAGAAACTTTTTCGAAAACCTATTTAAAAATCGAATACACTTCGAAGTTCGAACGTCCGCTCATTCACCTAGGCTACGCAGCTGGTTGCGACACGGGCGCACCGCGGCCGAATTCCGTAGGACTGATAATGACCTAGTGTGAGCTTATGCGATCCTGGTATTTCGAATACTCATTACTTCGTTAATCAATTGAGTCCGTTTTGTTGCTTAATTTACTGATAAATAAATGGATTTAAACACTCTCAAACAATTACAAAGAAAAGTTTCAATTTAATTTAGGTAACATTATTTAAGAATGTAAACGTACAAACCGCCACGTGAGGAAATAAAATAAAATTAACTACAATATGTCACGTGGTTCAAATCCTTTCTGCAAACTAAATTGTTATTGGTATAGGATCAAATTATGAATCTTTTTCGGTTTTCCTCTCCCCTTATAATTCTTCTTCTTTCAATTTAATAAATGGCTTGTTTGCGTTTTTCGCAGTTGGAAATGAGATATTAAGTCTCATATCGAAGAAAAGTGTCATTCTTTAGATTCGAAAGAGAAAGAACTTCGTTCCTACCTGGTGTCCCACGACACCACATCATTTTTTTTCGAGACTTACGAGTAATGTGCGGTTTAGCGGCCGACTTCATGGTGTTACTTTTCTGTTACAGTGTTGCGCGCGCATCTTAAAATTTTACTCTCATCATTTTTTCATAACGCGCCCGCGGCTAACTTCATTATGTTACTTTTGTGTTACAGTGATGCGCGCGCATCTTAAAATTTCACTCTCATAATTTTTTCATAACGCGGCTAAAGAAGTATAACTTCAAAAAGTACAACATGAACTTCTACACTCACTTTAATTTAACATTATTATGATTATTACAATTATTCTCAGTGGTACAAGATCTGTTGATGATTTCATATCTTTTAGGAGCTTATGTCAAAGAAGTCAAAACTTATCATATTTTAACACGCTTATATTAGCCTCACTTGTAATTAACTAGGTAAACAAATCTGGAAAGTCGAATTCTTTCTACTTCTTATTCTCATATTGATTCAAAACTTGGTAAGTGTATGTAATTTGGATGACAATACAATAATCTGATATCATTGAGCCAGTCTGATAATGAAGCCAGGAGGTGAATAGTGAATTCTTCAATGTTAACAAAAAGATCCCTCGCGTCTGGGTTTATTTGGTTTGTTTTAATTAACACTCATTCCACCATTCCAATGTTAAAGTATAAAAACTCATTTTTACTAAACCGTCATGAAACCACCAGCTGACTCTGGCTTTTATGTATTAAAATACATACGTACGTTGCGTTCATATTACATACGCAAGCACGCACAAGCATATATTATATTTTTTCTAGTTATTTCTTTAGATTTAAACATCAAGCAGTTACATGCTTAAAAAAATTAATTATAACTATAATTGCAATTTCTTCTTTCAAATGTTTAATACTTGTAAAAGTTTTCATTTGACATTGTGGGTTACCTACAATGCGAAGAGATGGCGCTGCCTTGCAGCTTAAGAGTGGCTAGAAGAATTTCGACGCGGCTATTACATGCTTAGAAACAAAAAAAAACAAAAAATTATGTATTATTAATATCAAACTCATTGATTTTTAAAATGTATTAATTTTGAGTAAATGTGTCTTATGCATTCAAAAAAACAAAAACCCATTATATCGATATTATTTTTTCAATTTTATTTCCCATCACTTAAAAGTCGTAAATAAATAGTCTCGCTACACTCAATTCAAGTTATATAATTTTTATTTCTAATCTTAAATGCGGGGCCTAAGGTCGAAACTTGATAATTAAAAATGGTAGTTTCGTGGGGAGTGCGTTTGCAAATCTCGTGGGGAGCATGCAATAGAGACTATATTCGCCAATAAATAGTTAAGGTCACTAAAATGGACTCTATTTTTTAATTATAAGGTATAAAATCATATGAATATATTTCGGCACATATTCGAATTGGATCTCACTCGATTACTTGCAAGTTTCTATTCTCGATTATTGTAAAATTCATTTTTAATTGAAAAAAAGCACTAAAATATAGAAAAAACACTTATATGTGAAATGATATCCAGTATTTTTGTAAATTAGAGGTGTTTGATCTTTTTTTGCACGTTAAAACGGCACAGGTTAGCATTTTTTTTGCGAAGAGACACGGGCTGTTGTTACTACGATAACGATTCTCACACTGTGGAAATCTATCGATTGTAAGTAGTTTTTATGAACGCACATGATCATTTGATCTTATACCTTGACAGAGGGGAAAGATCTTGCAAGGCTAGTCCTGTGGTTTAATGGTCTAAGACTTGACAACAGTTTGCCCTAATCATGCTTTAAAATGAATGTAAAGGACAGACAGATGTCTTACAAATAGCAAAAACACTAATATCCAAGCCCTACATTAGAGTAAATAAAAAAATGCATTGTAGAAAAAAAATACGCGGATAAAAGCTTTTTCTAGTAATTTTTTTCTTTAGATTTAATCATCTAGCAGTTAATTGCTTAGAAAATAAAAAATATAACTGGAATTACTATTTCTTCTTTCAAATGCTTAATAGTTGTAAAGGTATTCATTTGATATTCTGGGTTACCTACAATGTCAAGAGATGGCGCTGCCTTGCAGCTTAAGAAAGGCTAGAAAACATTCGACACGGCCCGTCTGCTGCCTGGCCCGCGTGGAATTTTTTCTTGTAAATTTTTTCTCTGCTTTGTAGAAGATTAGAATTTACAATCCCCCAGAGGATGGGAGAAAGGAAACGTTCCACTGGAAAGTGTTTCGTTGCATATCTAAAGAGAGAATCTTTTCTATCGAAATTTAACTGAAATATGAAACAGAAAACAAAATTTCTACTTTATCTGAAGTCTATTATCATCAGCCTATTAATGTCCCTACTGCTGCGGCACAAGCCTTCCCTATTGATGAGAATAGGGAGATTGGGCCACGCACCACGTGGGCGTAGTGCGGATTGGTGGGTACTAACGACTGCAGATGCAGCAGGGACTAACAGCTTAATGTGCCTTCCGAAGTACGGAGGAGCTGGATATAATAAGATTTTGGTCACCCATCCAATAACCGACCACTGCGGAAATTGCTTAACATCAATGATCGCAACCGAAAGCACTTGCGCCATCGAGCTCCTTGGAATCTATAAACACTGGTAAGTACAACGTATATGATAGTTTCCATTATTGCTATTGACTCACCTCGACTTTCCTCTTGGAATCGCCCAAGAACGTCTCTATGACTATCGACCTGTCTCCGGTGAGGAAACACGCTTTGTGAAGTAAGAGCGGACTCAGTACTCTTTCAGGCGAATATGGATCGTCGCAGAACATGCATACCATTATCCTGTAGAAAACAACAAATCATCGACTAACACAAAACCTTAGTTTTATATACCGAGGTAGCAATAAATGGAATCTGAAATTACAACTATTGGCAGAACATGCACACCATATTCCTGTAGAAAACAACAAATCATGGACCAATACACAAACTTATTCTTATATACTTAGGTAGCAATAATTGGAATCTGAAATTACAACTATTGGCAGAACATGCACACCATTATCCTGTAGAAAACAACAAATCATCGACTAACACACAACCTTATTCTTATATAGCGAGGTAGCAATAATTGGAATCTGAAATTACAACTATTGGTAGAAATAAGATACTTCTAAGCGTCAGCTCACACCGAAACTCGCCGCGACGCTGCGCGCACATTTTAATAGAGCGACAAAAAAGACAACTTTATTTACTACACGAAAAGATACACATTGATGATATGATATAGAAGCATTGTTTTTTTACAAAGGCCGCGAAAATATGGTACTAAACTTATACAACAAAACTTCAATACTAACGCGACACGGACACAGACAAAACAAAATACTTTTACAAATCAATATATATGCAAATGAATTTGGCTATCCATTCATTGGGTAAGATAATGTTAAACGGAAATCCCAACCAATCCCATGATCAGCGTATTGATCGCAGTTTTATCGCTCCGCCCACTTGATCACAGTTACCCTGGAACCACTTTTTAGTATCATCGTATTAATAATAATACTAATTCGTTGGTTTAAATTTAAAATATCGTGGTGCAACCACGCCATTCGGTTCTCGAATTAACCGCATCCCAATCGATCCTTCTCCTTAAAACACTGTACTTTACGCTTATGGGGGTAGAAGACGCAAGATATTTGCCCGCAATGACGGATGGCCGGAAGGAAAATTAGTCTGTCACCGCTCATCAACAAAGAAAGTTCGTTGACGCTTCGCAGTGTTGTGCATTTTTTTCGTTTCACAAAGGGAAATGTGTGAAGTTTAATAAACTAGAACAGATCGCCTCGAAATAGGTTTGTGTGTAATAGTGTCATCAACAACGGCTTGCTTGACCGCCATCTTTGATGGTAACCGCTGGCACCAGGAAGGTACTGCTGTAGAAGCTGGCGTATGAGCCAGCGCACAGTATGAGTAAGCACAGTGTTTTTGTTCTCATCCTATTCCATAGACTAAACCAGCTTAATATTTCGAACCAACACCTACAGTCCACTCTCCGGGGTTTCGATCCCACCAGATATCGTTTGAATTCCCCTTACCGAGTTCGGCTTCACCAATAACTAAATAATATATTATATCGTCTTACCGTATATCGGAATCGAAGCATACTATAAGGTCCCTATATAGATGTGCGTAACTGGCCTTCTCCCTGTTGGCCCTAATCAACTCCTGGACAGCGTCAGCAGTCAATGCTTCTGTACCGAGCTCATTAACAGACGCCTCCATATAAGAACAATGTAAGCTGAAACAATCGTCATCATCATTAGCCTACTAATGTCCACACTGCTGAGACAGAGGTCTTCCCCATGGAAGGAAAAGGGAGATGGATGGAAGTTTTTGGTCAATCATGCAGTGACCGACCACTGCGACAGTTGCTTAATTTCAACGATTGCAGCGGAACGCGCAAAACGATGGTTGCTACTACACGTATTTCTGTACTGATCGAATAAAAAAATAAAATGCCAAGCACCTTTAAAAGATGGCTGATCTGACAAATTCATTTCTTTTTGTTACAGGACTTGGCATGTGAAAAAGAACTATATTTTACTTGATATCAAAAGAGTGTAATGTTTTATCTTTACGAGTGGGTATAAAAAGACCGAGGCCGCGTTGTTTCATTGATAGTTAGATTTGACTATATTTAAAAGAGAAAGAAGAGAAGTAGAGAAAAAATAACTATTTATCAAATTTTTACACATTTACTATGTATTTGACGTGGCTTTAACTATAGTCAAATTTAACTATAGATGAAACCTAAGAACAATATAGGAGATGTCAAAAATGTTATTTAAACAAGAAACAAAATAGATATTCTATTAATTAAGTTATACCGTATCGAAAATATCTTAAACTTACTTATCGGCAAGATTCTGGCCTTCCTCCTGCAGCCTCGCCAATTCTTTCTTGTCCATGCCCTCGTCTTGCACAAACATCACAACCAACGGTAGTCCCTAAATAATGAAAGATAAAATTATAGTCGCTATGACTGTTATTTATTTAAAAGACGCAACCGATTATCGCACAAGTCAATGCCTTTAAGGATATAATCACCGGTGTGGTTTTATCTGTATGGCACTGTAAATACAAAATTGGCATCATATACACCAATCCCTTGTAGAGATCATAGTTTAGTAACTTTTAGAGATCAATAAAAAATAATGATCAATAAATTATATTCTTCAATAAATGATAGACATTAGCTACAGTTATAGTAAATTTACGGGATTGCTATCATGTATAATAAATAACAAAACTTATGAAAATGTTAGTGACCATGAAAGTTTAAAACGATATACATACATGTTATTAACAACAGTTAACCTATAATTCTGTAAAGATATAACAAAGCCATAAAATTATATCAAAACTACGATTTGGTAGTAAATACAGTAGAATCCGTTTATTATTACTCCGCCTATAATGACCAACCGCTAATTGTGAATTACATAGCAAAGTTTGATTTTCATAAAAAAATCCTTATAACAAAGTCGGATATAATTACTTCGCTGGTAGTGACATATCGCTTATTATGACCCAATTTTAATAAATTGTGTTCGGTTATTGTGACCGACATAATTCCTAATACCTTCGGCAGTGTTAGGGAGAGTCCGTCACGTGATATACGACTACGTTCGAAGGGTGCATGGCCTTTTTTGTTTTGAGTCTCAGTAGGTTTTTCTTAGAGTCGCGCATTGTTTGTTAGTGATTTAACATGTACCAATTTAATAAAACAGAAGATTATTTTCTACAAAACGCTTTGTATGACGTCTGCTTAGTATGACGTATTTTTTATTTCCATTTGATGTAATTATAAACGGATTCCACTGTAAGTCTAAAAAGTTTCACTTTAGAATTCAAACTCAGTTATTTACTCACGTATCTTAGTATCACTAGTAATCACATACCTGGAAAGGTAACTTGTCCTCTTGTTCAAGGCTCGAAAGTAAAGTCTTCTCGGCACAACCTCTAATGTATTCAAATGATTCTTGGTCTTGAAACACGCAAAAATATCCTACGAGCAAAGAATTGACATTAATGCAAGAAATCAATATATCTTTATTCAAATTGGATGTATAGTACAACTCTTTTGAATCGTCCAATCATTTTTTCCCCTACCACTCGTTATTGGACATATTTTTTAAATACAAATTACTATAACGGCTGATACTAAGAAATAAATTTCATCATCAGTCTATTAATGTTCCCACTGCTGGGGCACAGGCTTACCCTATTGATGGAATAGGGAGATTGGGCCATGACCCACCACGAGGATCCAGTGCAGATTGGTGGGTGCTAACGACTGCAGCAGCCGGGGCCAACAGCTTGACGTGCCTTTGGAAGCACGGAGGAGCTCGAGATAGTATATTTTTTGTCACCCATCCAATGATAAATCACTGCGAAAGTTGCTTAACTTCAACGATCGCAGGCGATCGCGTTGACCACTTGCGTCATCGTTATCCTCAAGAAATAAACTTACAGCCTAATTTACGGGAACGACGTAGTACCTACCATAAACATAGAATATGGAGCAAGCGTTCTCTATCCAAGTCTTTTAAATAACTCTTTTCAACATCCTCCGAGACAAAGGGTAAACAAGGTAAAATTTAAACATCTAGCAGTTACATGCTTAAAAAATAAAAATATAACTATAATTGCTATTTCTTCTTTCAAATGTTTAATACTTGTCGAGGTATTAATTTGACATTGTGGGCTACCTACAATGCGAAGAGATAGCGCTGCCTTGCAGCTTAAGAAATGCTAGAGGAAATTCAACACGGCCATCAGGACCGCAGTAGCATAATGGTGTGGGTTCGAAACCCGTCTGCTGCCTGGTCTGCGTAATTTTTTTGTAGTATTTTCTTAACATTTAAAAGGTTTAACAAATCAAAAAAAAGGATTTTTCAATATGTCTAATTTTATACCAAAAACAGTGACATTATTAAAGACTTGAAACTGTTGCTATTCCCAAACTTTGAACGCATTATAATACGACTAAATTGAAGAGTAGTAAGAAAACAAACGATTTACGTTGAAATGTGAATTTTTGTAATTAGGCTGGTTACACCATTCATCTTTATTCTGGATAAAAAAGTTTCATAAAAAATGGTTTATTTATTTTCCTTTTGTCTCAGAGGAAGTTGAATAGAGTACAGAGTAACACTGGCCATATAAGTGATCGTGCGGCCAATAGTTCGTATAGGTATTGGCTGCACCATCGCTCTTTCTAGAGTGTTGTAAATTTCATGCGATTATCACCTAGTTAGTTCATTATCTGTCTGGGGTGATGGATGGAAAATATTAAGACATAGAGGAGTATATTTTTAATAGAAATGTATTTAAACAGCCATGACTTAGGTACAAATGCTCGTATTTATCAAACAAATTTAATCTGTAACGTCTGGGGTTCTTTAAGAGAGGCGTGAAGAAGCATTTTTGCAGGCCGGTAAGATGAGGATGGTTGGTGTGGCAGTTTATAACTGGTGCACCAGCTATCTTCGCGTTTGGACTTTATCACCACTTAACATCAGGTGGGGTAGAGTCATTTGCCTACCTCGCTATAAAAAAAAACGTACCGTTTGGCGCGAACTCATCTATACTAGTAGTTTCAGTGGTGAAGTCGTCAGTTCTGACGCGTTGTTCGACCCGCCACGTCTGACCTTGGACGGAAACCCTTCGTTCCGAATCGCAGCCGGCCAGTAAACGCTTGCCGAATTCACCGGCTACACCTTCCACCTATTAATGGATAGATAACAAGACTTTTATAGATAAATACTATGACCTGTACGGAAAAGAATAATATTGTAGACACAACAGTTCTGCAAACAATACGTAACTTGTCCGATCGATTTTCAACCTTGACTGTTCGATTAAACATTCAAAATCGATTGCTGGATTTTATGACCTATTTGGCACAAAATCGTCTATTGCAACCGGATAGCAAAGGTTAACCGAATTCACCGGCTACACCGTCCACCTATTAATGGATAGATAACAAGACTTTTACATCTGTTTATAGATAAATACTAAGACTTGTACGGGAAAGCATAATATTGTATACACAACAGATCTGCAAACAATACATTACAGAGGCCCACAGTAAACACTACCTTTTAGTGGTGTAGTGTTTCTGTTGGTGGATAAGGTTCAAGGGCTCCACGGGGTAGGGGGATTGGGTCAGGGTAGGCAACGGCGGGCCATATGCTGGTTTGCCATAAAATAATAAGATTATTAATAGAGCTCAAACAAGAAATTCCTAGGATATGAAAACTCCAGTAAGTATACATCGTTCCTCTGGTACTCTCGAGCACAAGAATTATACCAAAACAACTATACATTAGTCTTAGAACCTTAGATCTCCCAAAAAATACATACATGACAATGCAAAAAGCAGCGATCTTAAATAGTTGTAGAATAGTTAGAAAGTTTCTAATTGAAGAATAAACAATAGATGCAATCTGATACTTGGCACAGCTCGTACAGATTGTTTAAAACCAGCCTCAAACTGAGAAAAGAAGCAACCAAAATAATAATAATAAGTTTTTATTTTTATATTAATATTTAAAAATGTAATTAATATGTCATACATTTAATAAAAGAAATAATAATAAAACTTTATTTCAGACTAAAATGTCCATAATGTTGTTTTGTTAGTACCATTTTTCCTTAATCTATGTTAGTAATACATGTCAATTTAATTATTAAGTAAAAAAGTGACTTACACCCAATATAATGACGTTGATCTGATTGGAATCCGTGGTCAACGCCCAAGGAGCGGCCGGGGGGCCGGCGTGGCACTGTGACTCACTCGACGACGTAAGAGATCTGGTGGAAACACATTAAAACATTTGTCATACTGTACGGTTTGCACACCTTTTTATGGTAGAGTTAATAAATAAATTATATATTCAACAAATTAAACTTATAAGAATGATATGATAATTGATATGAGTATGGGCGGCGAGAATGATTACCGATGGCAGACTGATGTGAGCGTGACCTAAATTATCGAATGTGGCGTAAAGTGCAAACTACACAAAATTGTACTAGTCGGCTCGTAAACATACAATAGGATATTTGACAAGTTTTAGAAACGATCTCACGTTATTTACTAATGTTCATGAAGTCCCTAAAAAGTGGATATTTATCATTCTGTTGCGTAATTCAGGAAAAAACAACACTGAATCAAACATACCATTTTAAAGTTGCTGCGAAAACGTTTCTCCAGACGTAATAGCGTCTCACAGCTATGTGACGTAATGTCAATTTGACCGGAAGTTTACTAGCGTGTGACGTCATTTTAGCTTTCGCCAATCCCGGGCGCTTTCGGTCACGTGACCATAGAACAAAAAAAACATTTCTTTTAAATGATTTTTTAGAAAAGTTATTAGTTCTTTGTTCTCCCCGAATAGTAAAATCGCTGCTAATATTCATAATAAATATAGATGCCAACAATTGGTATTTTATTTTCATACTGTGAAATAACATATTGTTGGCTTCCGTATTTAATATAAATATTAGTAGCTATATAACTATTTTGAAAGAACAAATAATTAATAACTTTTCTATAAGATCATTAAACAGAAATGATTATTTTCCTCCATGGTCGCGTGACCAAAACGCTAGGGATTGGCCAAGACTAAAATGACGTCACACGCTAGTAAACTTCCGGTCAAAGTGACGTTACATAGTATCTTTTGACGTTTTAATGACAGTCGTGTGATGTCACATACTAGTGAGACGCCATAATGTCCAGAGAAACGTTTTCGCGGCAACTTGAAAATTAAATTTTTGATTTAGTTTTTTTACTGAATTACACATTAGAAGTATAACTATCTACTTTTTATGAACTCCCTAAACATAAGTATATAACGTAAAGTCTTAGTCTAAGACTTGTCCTGTTATATGAAATTTTACTTGGTTATATTGGCTATACAATGTGACCAAGATATTGTGGCCCACGGCCGAAATCCGAACTAATTTTAGGAAGTTATACTACTAAGTGTAGCCTGGCATAAATGAAATGAAAAACATTTATTTGGAACAATCATGGATACAAGCAAATGGTTAAACTTATACAAACATATAGATATAGAACCCAGTTCAGCATTGTGTCAGTTTGCACTGTCGCTGTTTTTCGAATGGCTCCCGTTCTAAATGTCGATAGTATACAGTGTGTTTTATCAAATAAAAGAATATGTCCTCACCCAACTCTAGTGTTGAGTATAACTGGCAACGTGACATCTAAACAATTGCTGCCAGCGGGACAGTGCTCCCTCATCGGACAGTGAACGAAGCCCAAATGTTGAAACAACATCAGCTTTCTGTCTTGCTCCATGCGATCCAGCATCTTGTACCTAGAAAACAAGTGCGATATTAAATCTAACTCTTTCAGGATCAAAACAGAACAAACGTGTAAAATTTCACATCTTCCTCGGGATAAAAGCCCAAGGGCCCCAAGCCCAGGCAAGGAGGAGTCTTCAGATACCCTATTCGCAGTTCTCGAGAAGGGCGAGGGGGAGGAGAGAGGGGCACATCTTCTGCCACCCTGACAAAGGGGATAACCCGCACAAGGGCAAGGGGGGGACTGGGTTGCGTAGGGACCCTGGGATGGTCAGCACTTCGAGTGCTGAACACCGTTTAACGGTCATTCTCAGGACCAGGATAGGAGCATCACCCCAGTGACTCTGATCATTGCGATTGGCGGTAGATGCTCAAACGGCCCTTCTTAGGGTCAAGGGGGGCGGGAGAGGGATGGAGAGAACTACGCTCTCCCTCCCACTCCAGAGAGAGCCGCGGGTCTGCCCTGGGGCGGCCCGCATTGCACAAGCTCTCTTGATGCTAATGCCCCTAATACTCCGGGACATCTTCATCGGGGTGGGTCCGTTCGCGGACAATCACCTTGCAGGTGCGCGGACAGTCAGCAATGGTTGCCGCGACCACACCCGCACTCCCGGCGTGCTTTGGGGGGACTGCGGTCCTGAGAATGTACGCCGGGTGACCGGTGCAGGAGTATTGTCTGGGTTTTAGTGGCCCTGTTCAGGGCGTTAGGTAGGGCCCTGCTCATTTTACCCGGCCTAAGAGCTGGCTGAAATGAGCAGGGCGGAGAACATACCTTCTTCTCGCTCCCTAAAAACAAAATAAAAAAAGCAGCTGCAGCAGCTGCAGCTACTGCCATAAACCTCCCATAAAATCACTTTTGTATTTACAGCTTGTTATAAAGTAGGTAAAAAAATTCAGCTATGCCATTAAAATAAAAAATAAATTATTATTAACTTTTCTCATCCATTAACAAATTTAGATTTTCGACTTTAAACATTACTACACACGACTACACATGGTCGTTAGCCCGAATATGAATGCCAATGGAATACTGGTAAACGACTAAGTGTAAATGAACGGAGTCGAGTGCGTCCGTATTTGAGTAGAATTTCTTTTGTTTACCCGACACCGTCTTTATGCTCGTATTCCAGGGCTAATATTGCTTCGGGTGCCCCGATTTCGAGTAATGTCTTTCGTACACCCGAATTTAAGGGCTAACGACCAAATGTAATTGCGACATAAAGATAGGATTACATGTTACTTAGTTAGGATAATATATGCAAGAGGGACAGAATGTCTTACGTCATCATTTGCGATTCCTTTCTATAATGACACGAGTTATAGCAAACTACTTATGGAATAGTAACTTAGTTGGTCAATATAAAAAATATCTGCAAACATCAAGTTATTATGTTTCAATGTTTATCTGTACCTGAAATCATCCTGGAGGACATCTGTTATCTCCTTGATATCCTCTTGGGTGATAGTTCCCGTGGGAGATATGCTTTTAAAGTGGTAAAATAAATCGGCGTGTTCCAATAGGAGTTCCTAAAAATTGTAATACAATATTAGCTTCTTTCTTGTCCTCTCCATCCTAAGGTTGTCTTTAAGAGATCGCTCTTAACGATAAGACCGCCCATTATTACACTGTATTCTTTAATTATGTACTTCATGTTTTATGTTTTTCTGTGGTGTAAAATAAAGAGTTTTGTATTGTATTATATTGTTTTGTATTAGCCAACTATAATAACTATCATCAAATGACTTACATTTAATCAAAAATTCGAGTAATGTTTATAAAAAATATTAAATGATATGATATTACTATTTATGTTGTATTAAAATCGTTAAATAAAGCCTCTTAATATTCCCTACCCAGAACTATGCTATGGTGTTATCAATTAAGATGAGATGAGGAGCTCGATGGCGCAGATGGTTAACGCATTCGGCTGCGATCGTTGAAGTTAAGCAACTTTCGCAGTGGTCGATCATTGGATGGGTGACCAAAAATCTTCTATCTCGAGTTCCTCCGTGCTTCGGAAGGCACGTTAAGCCGTTGGTCCCGGCTACATCTGCAGTCGTTAGCACCTGCCAATCCGCACTGGGCTCTCGTGGTGGGTCATGGCCTAGTCTCCCTATTCCATCCACAGGGAAGGCCTGTGCCCCAGCAAGGGGGACATTAATAGGCTGATGATGATGATGTTATCAATAAATAGTAAAATGTATCGTTTTATAACTACCTGAAGGTTGTTTTTAGCGCGTCGCTGAATCTGCCTCTGATGTTGATCGTAAACCCTCTGTTGTTGTTCATCGGATAGAGCTTCGTAACATTCCCTACCCATGAGGAGTACGCGAACTTCCGATAACTGTTTACCGGGTGTGACGTAACCGGTTTCTTCTAGTAATCGTTTGAATTGCTGGCACCATCTGTTGGTGACGTCACGATAAATAAATGAATATTTCAGCGGTGACAACAAATTAGCCTAGTCCCCAGTAAGCACTGTAATGGTGCGTCCAGATCACACTTTCAACATCGTTATACAGAGTTAATTTTAAAACACCAACAACCTCTTAGGGGGTGATTCTACCCATCAACAGGAACAACTTTTACAATAGGACCAATGCTGAAATCGCACAAAAAAAATCTGCTGTTTCATATAAAAGAGGAGCTCGCTGGCGCAAGTGGTTAGCGCGTTCGGCTGCGATCGTTGAAGTTAAGCAATTTTCGCAGTGGTCAGTCATTGGATGGGTGACCAAAAATTTACTATCTCGAGTTCCTCCGTGCTTCGGAGGGCACGTTAAGCCGTTGGTCCCGGCTGCATCTGCAGTCGTTAGCACCCGCCAATCCGCACTGGGCCCGCGTGGTTGGTCATGGTCCAATCTCCCTATTCCATCCATAGGGAAGGCCTGTGCCCCAGCAGTGGGGACATTAATAGGATGATGATGATATAAAAGTGCATCAGCTTATCAACCGAAATGTATGAAACAGCCGATTCGTTTTCGCTATTTCAGAGTTGGTACCATAATAAAAGTTGTTGTTGGTGTTTTAAAATCAACCCTGTGTAACAAATGTGGACGAACAATATTCGATCATGTGGACGTGTTACATAACAAAAGTTATAATACATGTTAAATAATCTGGACGCATCTTATGACTTGTGTTATGGGATAGGAAAACGGATAAAAATCACTATTTGACTATATTTTTATTGAAATATAGATAAATAGTGATTACTAAAGCCAGGTCAGCAACGTCAGTCTTTATCTAAAATCAGGTGGGGTGTGGTAATGAGTTGTGCATTGTATAAAATATACTTTTAGTGCGATTACAAATTATGTAAATACACTGAATTGTCTTCAAGACAAACAACTTTTTTTTTTAATTTGGTCCTTCGAGCCAGATGTATCATGAATATATATATGAGAATCTTTGTAATTTGCCCATTGTTTATTAAAGTTAACACACCATTAAATCGTTTCCGTGAAGAGTATATACAACTCCATTGTTTTACCTCATACAAAATGTATGGTACAATATCTTTGCGAAAGCTTAATAAGACTACTCACTCGTAATTTCTCTGTTCTTCTTGAGCTTCGTGTAGGTAAGTTTTGAAAACCACTGCCGCTTCGTTGGTCTCCAAAATTTCGTAAGGAATCTTCTGCGACTGTCCCAATGTCTAGAGAAAAGAAAATTTCGATTTAATTACTGACTATCATTGATTGTCCTAAGTTTTGTATTGGACTTTAACAAACAAAAAAGGACTTCATAATTTATTTTCTACGAGTCAGTTTCGACCGAAAGGAAATACCTATATACAAATGAATCAATACATTATAGAATAATTTATTCTTATTTGTTTCTTAGGTTTTCCCGCACATCACACATTAAATAAAACTAGTTTTAACGGGTTAATGCACGAAACTTTATTTATTTATTGACCTGAAAAGGCTGCGAAACGTCAATAAATAAATAAAGTTTCGTGCATTAACGCGTTAAAACTAGTTTTATTTAATTATATTCTTATCTTGTTTATTTTATCGATTTATAAGTTCTTATTTTCTATGATTAATGATCTGTATTTACGTCATGTATTTTATTAATAAATGGGTCTGGGTTATTATCTATCTTTTTCATTAATGTCTATGTGTTTATCTGTTATCGTTTAGTGTCTGGGTTTTAATATTATCATTTTGTTTAGAGTCTGCGTGTTTATCAGTGTAAGAAGGCTAAAGGGAGGAAGATATTCCCACGATCTGGGTGATGTTAACACTAAAGCGTCTGGGTGTTAATCTTTTATTTTAATTTAGTGTACGAATTACTAATTATCTTTTGTTAAGTACACGTGTGTTCATATTAACTTTTTGTTTAAAGCATGTGTATTTTATGTTAAGTGTCTGGGTCTTAATCTTATCTTTTGGTGTAAAGAAAATTTTGCTAGAAAAAAATCCACGCGGACCACGCGACGCGGACGCGGTCCCGTCTAAATAAATATTTCCAATACTGCTGCGGCCTGGGGGCCAATTGCCTAACGAGATTGCTATGACTATCGCTATCGCTTACTATTTCATTTTCCTATTTCTGACCGCTGAAGGTTTTGAAATGCCTCGCGCTCGTATTTTTTTCTTTTGCATTTGTAATAACAATTTTAAGGAAAATGAGCGTAAGGTATTTGAAAACCATCACCAACAACAAAATGAAATCGTAAGCGATAGCGATAGCCATAGTAATCACGTTAGGAAATTGAACCCCTTGGCCGCGTGGATTTTTTTCTTTAGATTTAAACATCTAGCAGTAACATGTTAAAAAATTAAAAATATAACTTATCATTTTGTTTAATATCAGTATTATTATCTATCTTTTTAATTAGTGTTTATCTGTTTTTGTCCTGTGTATGTGTTTAAGCACCTGGTATCGCGCCCGTTCGCCGACCCGCAGCGTCGTATCAGCGCCGAGGGGACTCTCCAGTTCGGAGCCCGACTCAGAGCCCGAGTCGGGGGCTCGGCCTTCGCTGAAGTAAACCGAGAAGTCGCGGTGAGATCGAAGCTGACGTACCACCATTGGCCAATCGCTAAACAAAACAATATTAAATATAGTTAAATAAGCCTTACTAAATTTGCAAAATTTAGGCATACCCACTATTAATTGTCGTATTCAATCTCTTTGACATTTAAATTGAAATTTATATTTTATATTATTAATTACACATATTTATTATTATATATTTATTTATTATTCTTTACAAAATTTATTTAAAGGTATTGCTAGTTAAATTAATAATGAATAACATAATGTTCGTATTTCTATGTGCGACTAGGACATTACAATGCCAGCTTTGTAGCGTACCTACATTCTCGCGCTTCTTACGGGCAGTTGCTCAAAATCAGCATTTTGCCTATTAAGGCAGGACTAGGGCAATATAATGCCAGCTTTGTACCGTACCTACATCCTCGCGCTTCCTACGAGCAGTTGTTGAAAATCAGCATTTTGACAAAAACACTGCTGAGCTTCTGCCTATTTGCATCACTGTCTCTTACTAATGACTGTAGTTTAGACTTGATATTTAAGAACTCTTATAATCATCTATGTCTGCAGTGATAAAATGTATTAATTTGTGATGCTAATAAATGATTGAATTGAATATTTTTTTTTCTGCCAATACTGACTTTAACAACAATTAGAGCGCCCGTCTGGGGAAGTAACTGTAATTAGTAAGTTAGTAAGTATCTCTTATCTAATAGACAAGTCCGTCCGTCCGTGGTGCTGTTTCAGCGGCCAAACCGTAAGAGATAGATAAAGAGAATGTTTAAGTTATAAGTTAAGAGTAGTCTGATAAGACTACAAACCGGATTTGAGTAACGTAGCACTTCCGGTTTTCGAGAAATCACGTGATTTCTATTTCAAACGAAACCACACAAAATCTCCGAAGTTCTCAATTAATTAATTTTTTTTTTTTGGTGAACATTTGGTTCACTGGTTTGCTAGTTGTTAATAAGTTATTTTACTGTGTAATCTTCTGTAAGGTCCTTACCGAACCTCCACCTTACCGAATTACACAGTAAAATAACGCTATCAATGATAACAACGAGTGATGTGGACTGTATGATGTGGTAGACTTGGTACGTAATGATGAAAAACACGGTCTTCTCAAGTTCAGAGTTTATTCGCGACTTGCCCTGACATGAGCACTATTTACAAAAAATACACGTCATATAAAAGAATATAAAATACAAAAAATGAGGTTCTAGAAAAGAGACCGGTCAACACCAGCCAGTCGCCAACATTGGTCGAGTTGCGTTTCTGTCGATTAGTAAAGTTCCAGGGCTCCACGGGATAGGGGATTGGGTCAGGTTAGTGCGGCGATCTACCCTGAGGGGATAGATCCTGGGGGCGTAGTTTTATCAAATGGAAAACAACTTATATGTTTTACTCTTTTATTTTATTAGAAATTAGGCGAATATAATAATTGAGCTTAATCTATCAACGTATGGTTTGGTGCCTGAAGTCTATCTCTTGGAACCTTCTATCAAACGACAGAAGATTCCCAGTTTCAAATCTTTAAAAATCATGAAATTACCTTTTTAATATAACTGCCAGCCGTAGGCATTACATGAACAAAGAGTTTACCCAAACAAGGAGGCTGTAACGTAACGGACGTTACAGTAGGTAACGGCGCTAGTGATATTTTTGGTATCGTCAATCTATAAGCTATGATGACTGCTTACCATCAGGGGGGGCATACGCTTGCTTGGCACCCTTTTATCATTAAAAATATAATATACACAGTTTTTGACAAAATTCACTATAGCAAAATAACAATACATAAACAGTTTCAAAGTTTATGACAAAATATCTTTCACTTTGAGGCGAAAATCCCTTGCGCGCGAAGGTAACAGTTTAAAAGTTTTCACGCATTATCTAGTTATTAGCTCATGAAACCACCTTATTGCATACACACACATAAATGGTAAGCAAAGGTCGGATTGCTGTAAAGATTTTACTATCACTATATTTGAGCGAAACAGAAAAAATAAAGCTTAAGTCACATTAATCGGTGACTACGTATAAATTAAAATATTTAAGTAAACAAAACTGCCCTATTCTTTGGTAATTATAATTTTCCTACAAACAACACTATAAATCATGTCATTAGGATAGCGTGTGCAAGGGACAGAATGTATGACATCATCATTTTCGATTCATTTCTTTAATGACGTTAATTATAGTATAGCTAAGTTTATCCCCGTATGTAATGTAAATGTTTAATACTTGTATTGGTATTCATTTGTCATTGTGTGTTACCTACAATCGCATTGTAGAGATATGGCGCTGCCTTGCAGGCGCTGAAATACTAGAGAAAATTCGACATTTAGGCCATTAAGGCCACTAGCATAATAGTGTCAGTGCATCCGCCCGGATATGAGGGTGCGGGTTCGCATCCCGTCTGCTGCCTGTTCCGCGTGGATTTTTTTCTAGTAATATTTTTACATTCTCACCTTTCCTGTAAATCTTCAGTGGGCAGCTGCATTCTCGATAGTACTTGTGGCAGTTTGGCCAGTTGCTTCCTGAGCTTCTTCGCTGATCTCTCTTCCTTGAGCCTCCTGATATGACGACGATATACAACCTGATCGAAACGAGACGAAATCAAATTATTATCATCTTCAGCCTATTAATGTCACCACTGCTGGAGCACAGGCCTTCCCTACAGATGGAATAGGGAGATTGGGTCATGATCCACCACGCGGGCCCTGTGCGGATATGCGAGTGCTAACGACTGACTGAATCAAATTAATTTATTAAAATCTCTTTTGAATCGTCCATAAATTTTTCCCTAATTCGGAGGCGGAGGAATAAAAATATTTAGTGCTTGATCCTCTTTCTATTCTTCAACATAGAAAATGGATGAAATTTAAAAATGAAAAACAACATGTAAAATATAGGGATTCAATCCATCTTACACCTTAATCGAAGCTCTTAAATACACATTTATTGAATAATCTTAAACTGGACAAGCCTTATTCAATTAAGTGAAATCTTCAGTCCTTAGGCACCCAAACATGAACTTCGCCAGATCCGTATCCGATCGTATCGTCAAATTTTGTATAAAGGTGCCAGTTTGTTCTCACGCCCGGTAGAGGCGCTGCTTCGTTTTTAAAGAACTTTGATGATTCGATACCGTTTACGGAGCTGTCAAAGTTCGTGTTTAAACACTAAGGACGGAAGATCTAACTTAATTGAATAAGTAGGGCTTGTTCAGTTTAAGATTATGAAAGAAATGTATATTTAATTAAAAGGTTCGATTAAAGGTTCAGGGTGGATTAATTCACTATATTTTACATGTTGTTTTTTAATTTCATCCATTTCCTATGTTGAAGAATAAAAAGAGATTCAAGCAATGGATCCCTTAAACTAGAGAATATCGTTGATTATGATTTGACCGTAAAGTCTGATTATAACCTACCTGGGTTCCATCGTTGCCAAATTGCTGGACAAACTTCACCCATTCAGGGTAGTGGCACAGTCTTTTGCTAGCTGCCGACCACATTTCTCTATAGAAATAAGAAAAAAATAATTAGTTTCAAATGATATGTAATTATAGAAACGTACGTACACACATCAAAGTAGCAATATGCATCATTAAAACAAACTAAAAGTTTTATAAGTTGACATTTAATATTATTGTTAAGAAATGCATTTATTCAATTTTTTTAAGTGAAACTTCTTTTCGAACGGAGTGTAAATGGAAAAATCGTATGGAAAAGATGAAACGGAAATGCGTCACGAGCGTCACACGACTATATATGTATATGTGTGCGTGTGTGTGGGATGCGAGCGCCGCCCTTTCCGACAAGCATGAAAGTTGGAGGGTAACTCGGAGAAAGCTGAAACGCTACGAGCGTCACACGCGACAATATATGTATATACATATATATGAGTGATGCGTGCGCTGCTCCATTCCCCTATGCCTTATGCACCGCCTAATGTTAGGTTATTTAAGAAAAGATGTTTCATTTCAGATGTATGACCATACCGCACACCTTTTTTTTTGCTTTAGTCACTAATAAATGAAATTGTAAATTATTAACAAAAGAATATTAGTTTTAAAATATATAAAAAAACCGTCTCTTTTGATGAAAATATTTATAGTTTTTAAAAAATAACACATACACCATGCAATTAAGGTTTATTTTTGTTTTAAACAAATGACTCACTTGTGGTCTTGGACGTGTATCCGTATGAGCTGCGTGAACGCTTCAGTAACAAAATCGAGGTTCTCTCTCCTTATTCTTAAAGCTTCTGCATAATTAGCAACCTACAAATAATCATTACTTACATAACAAACATTTCTTTTGTATCCTGGCACTTCACTCAGCTATTTGTGTTTGCTATTTGTAAACTTGACAACAGTCTGTCCTTATCATGCTTTATAAGGAATGAAAAGGACAGACTCATGTCCAACTGACAAATAGCAAGCCCGAATAGCCAATTGAAATTCCGTATTTAAGATTTATATGATTTGGCAAATTTACCTTTCCGACCATAAAATTTATTTATCCATAAATTCATGAAACGGAAATTATATTTTTGGTCCTTCGTTGAGGAGCTCGATGTTGTTAAGCAACTTTCGCAGTGGTTGCTTCGTAATGCACGTTAAGCCGTTAGTCCCGGCTGCATCTGCAGTCGTTAGCACTCGCCAATCCGCACTGAGCCCGCGTGGTGGGTCATGGCCCAATCTCCCTATTCCATCCATAGGGAAGGCCCAGCAGTGGGGAGATTAATAGGCTAATGGTGATCCATCGTAACGTGATCGAAAACGGCTAGGTATGGGAGAGTGAAAAGGTTTTTAAAGGGTTGCAACGCATGATGGTACAGGCTGGGGCGGCCTACATGTACTAAAATAATTATTTTCTATTTAAGTAAATTATACCTAATAGGATAAAAAAACCTTATTCAACACCATGCACGGATGAAAACAAGTAGACTTACAATCACGCTCAAAAAATATCGGAAGCAAAAATACGCACACGCGTCTATTGTGCGTAATTTCCCTCGCTCGTATACAATTTGACATTGAACCTTAGTGCCACGACATAAGGTGTTAATATTTTCTGTATAGGTTGATGTTTTTGTTATTGCACTTTTCTTGCGCTATTGGGAGTCTACTTGTTTTTATGCGTCAATCATGAACACATAAAATTTCCCCCTATCTCTTTAAAGCTTAAAAGTAAATCATTTCAGGCCAACGATATTAAATACCCTAGATACACCAAGAACGATCAAAATGTGTCCCAATCAAGAAGTGCAAGCACTTCTTGGTTCACAGTCACGCACGGACCGTTAAAAGTCAACATGCCGCAGAACAGATCTAATCAATGTTTTTAATTTAACGCATTTGATGCTAATTTTGTTTGTGTATATTTACTCATATTATTATTGTTATATAATTATATTTATTATTACTACTGTTCATATTTCTTTAAATGTTGTCTCTCAACAACACCCTATGGTTGACTGGTAGAGAATGCCTACGGCATTAAGTCCGCCATTGTACAGTTGTGCATGAAGAATAAAATAAATAAATGAATATTCAAGTTCACGGTCGGTCGTCTCTTTTCCTCGCGGTCCGTACCTGCTATATTACTAACAGCGCATTCAGAATTAAGCGTAGAATCATAGAAATAAGGTCTATATTCTTCTGCAAATAGCAATAAGTCGTAAAATTATACGCCTGCATTTCTAACTGTCACAAATAACTCTTTGACGCATGCGTTTAAGACCTTATACAGTATGCATTAAAGGTGACTTTCAATGTTTTAATAATGCCTTACTGTGTTTTGAACTAAGCGATCATCTTTCGGAGCTCCGTGGATCGTCCAATGTACCTTTTGGACAGGTTTCGGTCACGATTTTGTTCTTATTGCTGTATCTAAGGTATTAAATATCGTTGTTTCGGGCACACTTACCTTAATCCTTGCCTTTGATTTCTCGACCATCTGCGCTAAGAGTATAAACGCTTGGTCCACATTAACATTATCGTGGCTAGACGTTTCGACGATGGGTATCGAACCCTTGAACTCCTTGCGTTGTACCAAGCGCTCGGCCTCTCTGACACCTTGATCGCACATCTCGTCATTCTTTGAAGTGACTAGGACTACCGGCTTCTTCAACTTCAATATGTTCTGGAGTATCGCAGCGAGGATTTCGTTCTGGAGCAACGGGAAACATACAACGGCTCAGTTATACTTTGGTTATACTCATCGAAATATAGTTATGCCTAAACAGTATGACACAGCATTCCTAAACTTTGTTGAATCGGTTTTTTATATTTTTTATTTTATAGTCATAATTGTTATACCATTAACATTAGAATGGATGATAATGAAAAGTGACTTCATGAATTATCTCATATTGAAGTCATTTTTCAATTTGACGACCCTGTATATAATACAGGGAGAAAAAAACAGGCCTTGCTGAGTTTCTTGGCAGTTCTTCCCGGTACAAGGTCTCCCGCCGTAGATTTGCGAACCGATGGCGTAGCTTTTCGACATTCACAAGTGCTTGTAACAGCGTAGAGACTGAATAAACGATATTGTTTTTTTTATAATAGAAAGTGAATATGATATATACGATATAATGATGAAATCGTATTTATTGACTTGTGCACCCCATACTTGTTTAATTGACTGTCAAACTACAAATATACGATGACATTATTCAAATGTCATTGTGGGTTACCTACAATGCGAAGAGATGGCGCTGCTTTGCAGCTTAAAAATTACTGAGTAAGTTCGACACGGCCACCAGGGCCGTGGTAGCATAATTGGTCAGTGCATCCGCCCGGATTGCGGAGGGTGTGGGTTAGAGAACCGTCTGCTGCCTGGTAACCGCTTGGATTTTTTTAAATAAAATTTTCTTTACGTTTAAACATCTAGCAGTTAAATACTTTATAAAAATATATAATAAATTACAAATATACGGTTGAAATACGAAAGACGTTAGTTTTTCTGGTTCTTTTTTTCATAATTGAACTCCTCGACAATATTTAAAACAAATCGCACGTCCGAGCATGGGGGGCCTGGGGCCTAAAGCACAGGCAGGAAACTGCCTATATTAGGTTCCAGTCTCCCAAAATATCTGTTTTTGGTATTTAATTTTTAAGCTAAACTAATGTGCCTATAATCTATTGTACAAAAATTGTAAAGAGGAAAATAAATAGTTTGTATTCTTATTTTGCTTCTATTATCATTTAATTGGCTTTTATACTTTTTCACAGCTTTAACATTTTACTGGATTTTAACGTCCAAGACAAATGTGAATGTGAGTTTTGTATTAGGTCTCCTCTACCTCTAAGAACTTTTACACAGTGTTGCATGTGTTCAGTATTGCTGCTTTTTGTAGGGAGGAAAATATAAGTGTTATCATCTAAATCTATCACCTTGAAACTATAATGAAGGGTTTTTGGGACTACACCTATCGTTGATAGGACAATCGGAACAATGTATACTTTTTTTTGATTCCATAATCTTATTGAAATTATAAGATTATGGAATCTGATCTGATCCTTCAGATCTGTGCATTTACTTATTTTTTCTGCAATTGTCTCTTGTATATTGTGTGTCAATACGGCAACATTATTATTATTTATGGAGTTTGACAGTTGATAAAAAAGGCAGGCAGAAAAGTAGGAAAATGTCTAAGCAATGGAGCGAGAGCGACTAGTTCGCGTTCAAATTTATCAGACAGCTGACTAAGGAATACTCAGTCCATTTTCTCTAAATCTTAACGAGAACATTAGAAAATCCCCCATTTTGTTTAAAACTAACAATAAATGACCATCGATTTTTTTGAAACCAAATAATAAATAGACTCAATACGTCAAAATAACGCGCGCGCGCGTTGGATAAAAAAATAATCAAGCAAATTTCTGAGTGTGTTTAACACACAAGTGAGCCCTTGTCAAGAATTTGGAAATTCCTTTATCTGTGTCACAGTCAAAATAATTAATTACTGCGTGTAATAAACTTTGATAAATATACATAGGAAAAATTTATATGGTGTTTGATAAAGATTAAATATATTTGAGAATAGGCACTGACCTAAAATGCGTGGCACACGCAATCTAAATTAAATTGTACTAAAAGAAACGTAGAAACAGCGGAAGCTCAGTTACCGTAATATATTTCTTTGCAAGAGCTCATGAAGTCACCTTTCAACAAAAGCAGTCGAGCTGTTTGTTAATGTTTATAACTGTGTTATAAATAGTGTTATAAACACCTAACCAATATTAGGACAGCTAATAACTACACTCTGATAAGTCAATTAACTAAATGCCTGTCAAAATTACGTGTTGTCTTTTACTATTACCATCACAGAAAAGTTACCACATCAACTGAATCAATCTTTATCTTTATATATATAATTCTTCTGTGAGTGTGTATGTCACTGAACTTCTCTTAAACGACTGGACCGATTTTGATGAAATTTTTTGTGTGTGTTCAAGGGGATCTGAGAATGGTTTGGATTCACAATTTTGTCCGCTGGACAATGTTTTTTTAATTCAATTTTTTATGGCGGTACGAAGTTCGCTGGGTCAGCTAGTATCTATATAAAATCTTTGACTGAGGCGCATTTCCTGCCTTAATTACTTCGAATGTTGAATGAACATAAATACCTGTTTAAATCTAAAGAAAATATAACTAGAAAAAAGTTACATGCTTTAAAAATAATAAAAATTATAAATACCTGTTTCTCCCAGCTGCGTCCAGGCACAAGACTCACGTCATAGACACACAGGAACCCATCCACACTCAACTTCCCATCGGGCATGAGCTTCTGCTCGTACTCCTTCTCTATGCCCAGTTGGTTCTTGCACACGTACATAAGCTTCTCGGCAGATTGAAGTTTGGTGGCCACGCATCTTTTGATGTATGCTTCCGTTTTACCCACTGTAAAGTGAAGAGTGCTAGTGTAACTTTGGCTTTTCACGCAATGCCTGGTAAAAGACTACTCCACTCAACTATGTTGCATTTATTGAAATATTTAATAAATTATTATATTGGTATTTAGATCCAGTTACCAATGAGGAATTAAAAACTGGATTAAAATATATACCAATTATAAAGTAAGGGTGTGTTTAGACTACGCTATACTATTATAGCATATAACACAGAGCATGGCAATATAGAACACCATATATTTTTCATAGAACACATTCTCATCATGCTTTACTTTATTGAGTGTGCTTGCTATACATACTATACTATACACCGCAATAGTATAGCGTAGTCTGAACTCACCTTTAATCATTGTTTTTCTTAATTTCAAGCATGAAGAACAGACTACATCCTTGAAATTAGTAATTTCAAGCATGTCGACCTTACGTAATAAGAAAGCCACTTCACAACATCTCAAGGGGTTGTAACAACAACCCCTGAGCTCTGGAACTGAATCAATTTTCTATTTGACAACCAGTCTGGTTTGGCAAAAGGAATCCCGCCAAATGGAACTTCTGTGGAAACCAATTTAGTGCCGAAATTCTCTTACCTTTGAATGGTTGAAAGCAGGCGTCATCAACGAACTCAGTCTGTTCCACAACTTCGAATCTGTACTCCTGGTCATCATTCTCCTTGGATACGCTTCCCCAGTACAGGAAGTGGTCATTGTTCACCACACGTCCACTGAAGTCAGACTAAAAGAGAAGAGAGAATAAGCGCACGTGTTCCCTCCTTCCTACAATCAGGGGTCCTTTAACAGAGAAGACGCATTTCTGCAGGCAGGCAAGGTGAGGATGGTTGGTATGGCAGTTTATAACAGCTGCACCAGCTATCTTTGCGTCTGGACTTTACTACCACTTAACATCAGGTGGGGTGTAGTCGTTTGCTTACCTAGGTATAAAAAACAAGATGATATTTTTAAGTTTATGTGGAACATACATTTAGATTTTATGGAGCTAAGGAAACATCATGATCAGCCCGTGGATGTCCACACACTGCTGAGCATAGATTTTAATTTTAGATGGAATAGGGAAAACCTATAGAATAAATATATATAAAATAGCTGTACCAGCTATCTTCGCGTTTGGACTTAATCACCACTTAACATCAGGTGGGGTAGTCATTTGCCTACCTCTCTATAAAAAAAAACGGGCCTAAATTAATTCAAGAATACGAAAACATTATGTTTCTTTGTGTTCAAAAGTCTGCATAAAATAGAACATCAAAGGTTTTGTCTATTCAAAAATTATTTGTTCCCATACTGTTGTTCTACAAGTACAGTAAAAGAACTTATCAAGCATAAAATATAATATATATTTTTTTCTAGTTTTGAATCGTGATCATATGATCACGCCCTTAATTCATGCTGTAACCAACAATTCTCCACTCTCACTACAGTTCATCATCATCATCATCATCAGACTATTAACGTCCCCACTGATGGGGCACAGGCCTTCCCTATGGATGGAATAGGGAGATTGGGCCATGACCCACCACGCGGGCCCAGTGCGGATTGGTGGGTGCTAACGACTGCAGTTGCAGCCGGGACCAACGGCTTAACGTGCCTTCCGAAGCACGGAGGAGCTCGAGATAATAAATTTTTGGTCACCCATCCAATGACCGACCACTGCGAAAGTTGCTTAACTTCAACGACCGCAGGCGAACGCGCTAACCACTTGCGCCATCGAGCTCCTCGAGCTACAGTTAAATAGGACAAATACCAATAAGAGAACATGAGTAAAACTCAACATCACAACAAAACTAGCTGAGGGTATTAAAGTTTTATTTAGATGGGTAAGTTTTAATAGTAGATAATAATTTGTCATACTTTACAGTATATCAAATAGAGAATAGAATAAATTCAATAAATACACACAAAGGGTTGTGTTCCATTTTACATTTGCAATACAATAATCACAGTTGTGGAAATGGCTGCATAACAAAGGCATGTTTATTTTATATTTATTTAGCTCAAAACTTTTACTTAAAACATTAATTAAACCACCATAGGATGAAGGTTTATAAAATATCCAGGCCCACTGACAGTGTAGGCTTATCAATATGGTTCCTTTCACAGTATTGAGTTGGAGAATCTAAGCAACAAAAAATATTGCAGTTTATCTTCAAGATAGCTAATGCTAATAGTGCTCTAGGAATCAGAAAAACCACAAAAATAAGACAATTTAATTAAACAGGTTTATCAAGATTGTTTACTAAATAAGACAAATTCAAAATGCTTTATTCTGAAATGTAGGTTAGTACAGTAAATTGGTGTTAGGTAAAAAGTTTAGTGTCACTACATTTCGACCCTTATTACTAGGTGTACAATATTTTATGAAATAATCAGGTTTACAATTATATATAAATCAAAAAAGCCATAGTTAGAAATAAATGTCAAAATTACTAAGCAATATTTTTATGTCAAACTAAAAATAAATAATAATAAGAAATTTTAGCCTGTTAAACAGGCTAAAATATAAGTAAATTAGGTAATTATGTCCAATTCTTTCAAGGAAGTGTCACTAAGGAACTCTTGGGTAGTATAATATACTTTGTTAATTAACAGTTTCATTAAATGTTTATTAAAAATAGTTATTGGTTAACTCTTTATATTATTTATATTATTGAGAACTCTTTATACAATTGAGACTTAAGACAATATCATAGATGTTTTCTTTAGTAAAATACTAGATATTTGCTTTCTGTGAAAGACAAAACCCCAAAAGTGCAGTGTTTTCTTATTGATTCTCTAGGAAAATTAAAATCCTTTCATGTTTTTATGGGAACAATACTAGTTTTATAGTAAAAAGCTTGTTTGCATTATAAATGTATTATGATGTCACCTCATAATCTCCATAGGTACACATTATTTAAAAACTATTTAATTCTTACCTGACTCAGAACTGAGATGTGATCAACATTGTAATCATCAGCATGTGTTCGAACAAATCTGTTGCAAAAGCAGGATTTACCAACACCCAGCTGCCCTTTATCTTTTTCAGTACCTAAAATGATTAACACAAATTATCATAAAATGCTGAATAATTTTATTTTCAATTTCTCCAATTCCCCCATTCATTTTACTTATATTTCATGCTATTGCAACGAGTCACATCATAATAACACAACTTATATTTTCATATTATTGAATTAAATTAACAAGTGTAAATGACACATTTATCAGATCAGATATGTAAAGTATGAGTACATTAGATAGTCAACTACTCTTCAATAAATAAGCATCACACCATATTCTATCATTTCCATATACATTATTGTACATGTGACTGCTGCATTCTTAAATATCATTAACGCCCACAACAACATAACAGGAAATAGAACAGATAAACGGTGACAATAGATCAGACCCATTGACAATTGTGTAAGACTTAAATTGAGGCAATACTTCCTTTTATTCAATCAGAGGCTACTCATTGAAAAGTTTAGAAAGCTGTCACGGCAGATTGGACATAAATCTGAATTTAGTATCCATATTATGGGGGTATAATTGAAGTTGAAATAACACATTAGTAATAATCTGCTGAATTACCATATACCTAATCATATTTATAAATATTTAAATGAAATTGGCTGTAAAAGTGAAATCCTCTAATAAACAATTTGTACTAATGAATATTTTTTGTAATCAGTTTAATCTAATTTGGGGTAACATAAATAAAAAATATGAATTTTTATGTAGTAGTAGCAGGCACCCCCGACTTCATCTACATGGTTTAATTGGTTGCCTGTAAATCCCATCTCCTTTTTAGCTCCCCAAAAAATGTTTTCTGAGATAAAAACTTTACTAAGTTCTTTCCCGGGATTAACTATAACTGTGCCAAATTCACATTGAATTTTTGACAACTGGTTTTTATGGGAAAGGAAAAGTATACCTTTTTATTGTTTTATGCATTTTTTTCTCTCTATATATATACCTTCTGTCTGCCATAAAGAACATCATATGAAAAAAAAAATGCCGAACTGGTTCAGCAATTTTCAAGTTTTGCACTTATGCAACATTAAAGTTTATTTTTAAAGAGTGGAATGACGAATAATGCTACTGCTGGATAAATAATGATAGTTTAAGAGTGGAATACTGCAGAAATAATTTTTGATTTGATATAAAATTAAGTTAATATGCAGATTTCAATAAAGAAAAAATTCTTATTATCCCTTCCCACGGCCACACGCAAACGCCGCTAACCCCCTTACACGGCACGACCACCCACCGAGGCCCCCCGCGGGGTGGGTATGATTGCATTGCTTTGCCGATTTCTCTGTTATTTTGTAAGAATACCCTACACAAACTATATATATTTGGATTCTCCATGAAATTTACTATAAAACAGTGTCTAAACAATGCGTCATGTCTATAATCTATTTTAATTACGTTACGGTAAACTCGGGAAAGATAAAAAAAAGGCGTTTAGATGGGTAAAATGGAGTATATTTTCAAAATTTCAAAATTTTATTACCAGATTTTTTGGTTATTTGCACATTCTATTATAACTTACCAAATAAACACATAAAATACTATACTCGCACAATTTAATTATACCTACAGCTCGTCACATTGCGCGCGCGCGCCGTTAATGTAAACAAACCGCGAAGTATAAACAGATCAAATTTCAAGTGGGTCGATAAGAATTACGCCGGGCGTTTGAATGGCTGTAATTTATTACTCCATTAGCTCCGAGTGTTAAGATAACATTAGAACCAAGATTGTTATGAATAACGTTTGTATATTTTTTAGGTTTAAGAACTTACAACGAGGCATTTAAAAATCGCCTACAAATCAGTCATCTCAGTATTATGTCTATAAAACGAAAAGTATTTTCAATTTTGATAAACAGTTTTTTTTATCAAAATGTACGCGAAATTTGCTTTAGAATAAACAAAAACTAATTACTAGTTCACATACAAGAAAATAATATAAAAAAATATTTCGTTCGTGTATTTGAATTTCGAACGACCGTTCCACCGCGCGGATTTTGTTTTTTTTTTATTTCTTCAAAAATACGAACTCAAGGGATTCTTTGTATTCGAAGTATTAATCATGAATAATTTATTCAATAATTAAAAATTAAAACATTACAATTATTATCGAAATTATCAAATGAAAACATAGGGTAAGTACCCCTAAGTTTTCGCTGATTTTTTTTGCGACCGCGTCTGCAAAAAAATTCTAAAAAAAAAAATTCACGGAGACCCGCAAACGAAACATCAAAATAGAGTAACTAAATGTATTTAACTTAACCAGGCATGGTGTTTTTTTCTTTAAAACCACTCAAAAGCACTTAAAATAGTCTGAATACACGGCATATTTTTTTTCAGACAAAAAACGGCGAACGACGAACTTTGACAGATAACAGTATAAATATTTCATATGGCACTTGTTTTTATGAATGGCTAGATAGCTAGCCCGTTTTTTCCTCTAAAAATTGATATATGAATGAAGGCAGGATAGAAAAACGATGAAAGGCCGAATGTCGGTCGCGTGCCGCTTGTGGCAAACGGCCGACAGTCGGCCGCTTGCCGTATGTCGGGGTTATACCTAATGCCGACAGTCGGCTGATTGCCGTGTGAGGGGTTATTCAATCATGTAGGCTAAGATAATAATTGTAAGTTCACTATTGCACTCTAAAGTCAACAACTTCGTAATGTCATTGCTACAACACTCCAGGGTCTGTTCTATAAATAGACAATAGTATGAGTCAAATGCTCAGAACATCAACAAGCACATGAACAAGTGAATAATACAATCATTAGATATTAGGATAAGTAATAAGGCAAACTAATATTAGTGATAGTTAACACTTTCAAATATTCTATTAATAAATATTTAATTCTATTTCATTATACTGCTGCCAAGACTGATACTGGGTTGAGTATTTTTTTCATTATAGACTCTTATAATCATAATCATAATAATAATCAATCACTTTCAATTTCACTAAAGTGTATATGATTTCACTACTACATAATAAATATAGGTAGGTAACAGCAATCAAAAACAGAATATAATAATACACAATAATTGAGTGCAATAATATGGCTGGTCAGTTTCTAGGCTGTGTGCTAGTGTGGCTATTTTGTACTACCAGTGTTTCATTCTAATTAGAAAATTGCATGTTTCGAATTTATTACTTACCAGACAATCCCACAATAGACACAGTCACCAGCTTTCCGCCAGTATTATCTGATTTCTTTGCCATTTCCGCAACTTATCGCTCTAATGGCATGTAGTAAAGAAAATACGAAATATCACCTAGCAAACTCATCACAACACTACTAACACTATTCACTGTATAACATATAAGGACAATTTTTTAGAGATTCTGTTGCTATCCCGAATAATGAACAAACAAAATTCTATTTGAAGAACAATAAGCATGTTATTTGTAAAGAAATGACAAAAACCGTCACAATGTGTCTCCAAATAACTTATTTAGTCAATCAGTCAAGCAGCATTACTGCCTAGAACGATCACCAGATGTGCCGACTTTTTAAATAAATCACGCTGCGTATAGCACATTTACGGTGTCCTTATTAAACTATATTTTAAAATTGATAAGAATAAGGCAGAGGCATTATCAAATATGGATTAAATAGAAATAATTTATTGTCTCTAAAGAGCCCTACGGTGACACGTTCATTTATGCTGTCCAGTAGTCGGAATAGGAACAGAATATTTTAAAATCTGTGACCACTTTAATGATCGACGTATTGAATATTCTTAAGAAGACCAAATTACATTTTATTACACTTTGATGAGATTAATTTACGAAGAAAAAGCACTAATTCTTGACACAACTCGCTTTTGCTTTGTACTAGAACGATGTTGCCAATGGAAAAATATAAATGCCAATGCGCAACATAGACAAAAATGGAGCCATGGTCTTAATTTAAATAAACATTAAAACAAAAATACGTGTAATGCATGTGAAATTGGCATACTACCGAAGCTTTTTTCACTTTCTTACAGGGCTTTATTTACAGTCTGTCAATAAAGTCACAAAAAAGGAAGTCACCAACGTCGCATACATGGTATCACCGTTAAACATTGCCTAAAAAGTTTTGATATATTTGTTTAAAAATAAGGGTACGGCCACAATGCACGCAGGTTCAGAATCAGATTCAGACTCAGAAAACAATCGCGAGAATTAAACAGTGTAGTTTAAGCAGGGTGGCCATAGTGGCAGCAGGCAACCTGCTTAAACTACAGTTTGTCTATAAAGTCGTGACAGAATGTTTGAGGAACTAACATTATTCATATGTCTGGCAACACCAAACTTATGTACATCCGCTGTCATCGAGTTTCAGTTGTGGAACAGTTTTCCTTTTGTATTTTTTATTGTTTGGATTAAACTGTAATAAAATGACGAAACTAATGGTCTAAGAGCTGGCTACGAAAATGTGAACTGATAAGGTGCAGTAACGAATTATACATACAACCTCTCCTTGGTACAGTGTTTCCACAATGAGGGGAAATTCCCCTTTTAAGGGGAAATTAGGGTCCAGAGGGGAAGAAAAAGGGGAAAGACATTAAAAGAAATTGCGGGAAATTATGGGTAAAGCATAGCCTAAAATAATGCGGCACGGAACAAATTTTTTATGGACTATAACGTGGACTAGAGTTTTGCCGTATAAAAGAAACTGTGGCAACACGTGCAGATTTTATATATTTTATTTATCTGTTATAGAATAAGATAGTATAAGACTTTTTTTTAGTTACTACACTAGTGCCAAATCTAAAAACTGCAGCAGAATAATTTTTGAGGGGAAAAATGTCCTAAGAAGGGGAAATCTAAATTGAGGCGTGGGGAAAGGAAATCTTTAAAGTGGAAACACTGCCTTGGTAGCCTATAAGTACAGAGCGAGGCCCGTCAGAACTCTCTCCCGGGGCGGAAGGCGTGGGTGGTCGGTCAAAGTCGTAAATTTTCAATAAGAAAAAAATGATTAGGTGCAGTTCTGAAATTTGGTAGAGTTATAATTTTTAACTGTACGAATCTAGAAAAATTGTTGTCAGAAGTCTAGGTTGGGGCTTAAAGCCTGTCAGAAGTCGACAAAGTTGTAAAGAAATTGTTTAAATTTAAACCACAAGGTGCAGTTCTGACAAATTAATTTTTATATTATTTATAGCTTACCGAACCTGTACATATATTGTCAGAAGGCTAAATAATGGCTAAGTACATAAAAATTGATGATTTAGTCAGAAGTTGCTGAAGCGGCTATCGCGATGGAAAGCAACGTTTCGAATCTAGTTTTGAGTTAAAATAAGAAGGTGCAGTTCTGAAAATTGCATTTTTATATTATATATAGCTTACCGAACCTGTACATATATTGTCAGAAGGATAAATAATGGGTAAGTACAGATAAAATGATGATACGTCAGCAATCTAAAAGGGCGAAAAAGGTTCCAACGGATCTGGAGCTTACAAATTGCGGCTGGGTAGAGCAAGGATCAATGTATGAACTTAAATAGTTTGAGGGCCCTCAAATACCTTGAACAGTCAACGATGTTATACGACAAAATTAAAACAAAGAATCTGGAGCTGAAGGTAAAATATTCAAGTACTGCATAATGTTAAAAATTGTATTTTCAATTTGTTAGATTATCATTATATTTATAAATATTTTTTTTACTTGTTACAAATCAAGATTTTGATATGTAATTAAATAATTAGACTTACTTTATATAAATATACTTACCTTTTACTCCATCTACTTTTGACTTTCTTATAATGACAAAAATTTTTTTTTTTTTAAAACAAATGGCCAAATTTTCATAATTATCTGAAATAAAAAAAAGGATGTTATGCTTCAGTAACTTCTTATCATAGAGTACCTGTTAGGGCTTTCATTCCGGGAGTCTCGGTCTCGAAAATTCCGAGAGTCTCAACGATTTTGTCGCTCCTCAACTCCAGTTTTCGATACTTTCGAAACTTAGTTAAATAATCTACAAAAAAATACCAATCTACTAAAAAAATCTACTAAACTAGCATTCATTTTTTAAATCGGTTACGTAGCAACACTGTAAAGTGAAAGTTAGGATAATCTGTAGAGATTGCAACCTAACTTCAAACACAATACGTTCACAACTTCACTTATTGTTTCTTTATAAAAAGTGTGAATTATATAGCTACGATGTGTTCCTTAGCACAAAAGTTGGTGGCGACAGAGGAAAGCATTTAAATCAGTGCTATAATTATTTGTTATCCATCCTCCCTACTAGCGTCGAAGCAGAGAGAGCTCTTTCTAATGCAGGTTACTTTTGCAACAAGATCAGATCCTCTCTATCTGAAAACACTTTGAATGCCCTTTGCTTTCTGCGTGCCTATTATAAAAATGATAAATCTTAATTTCACTTATATTGTAATAGTTGATTATTAAAGAACTTAATTGAAACATATTGTATTAATCGAGTCTTTCGAAGGTAGCTCGACAAATTAAATAAAAGTTTAATTCTGACGACGTAGCCTGTAAAGGCTACGAAACGTCAATAAATAAATAAGTTTTCGTGCATTATTTAATTTTTATATTTGTTTTTTATTTCCCTCGCTTAACCTTTTGTCATTGCATATTTATTAAAATAACAGTGTAAATAATTAAAACAATAAATAGCCAAAACTGCACCTTGTTATTTAATTTTGAAACTAAATTCGAAACGTTCCTTTTCAATGTGATAGCCGCTTCAGCAACTTCTGGCCATATCATCAATTTTTCTGTACTGAGCCATTATTTAGCCTTCTGACAATATATGTACAGGTTTGGTAAGTTATGAATAAAATAAAAATGCAATTTTCAGAACTGCACCTTGTTATTTTAACTCAAAACTGGATTCGAAACGTTGCTTTCCGTCGCGATAGCCGCTTCAGCAACTTCTGACTAAATCATCAATTTTTATGTACTTAGCCATTATTTAGCCTTCTGACAATATATGTACAGGTTCGGTAAGCTATAAATAATATAAAAATGCAATTGTAAGAACTGCACCTTGTTATTTTAACTCAAAACTAGATTCAAAACGTTGCTTTCCGCAACTTCTGACTAAATCATCAATTTTTATGTACTTAGCCATTATTTAGCCTTCTGACAATATACGTACAGGTTCGGTAAGCTATAAATAATATAAAAATGCAATTGTCAGAACTGCACCTTGTTATTTTAACTCAAAACTAGATTCGAAACGTTGCTTTCCGTCGCGATAGCCGCTTCAGCAACTTCTGACTAAATCATCAATTTTTATGTACTTAGCCATTATTTAGCCTTCTGACAATATATGTACAGGTTCGGTAAGCTATAAATAATATAAAAATGCAATTGTCAGAACTGCACCTTGTTATTTTAACTCAAAACTAGATTCGAAACGTTGCTTTCCGTCGCGATAGCCGCTTCAGCAACTTCTGACTAAATCATCAATTTTTATGTACTTAGCCATTATTAAGACTTCTGACAATTTATATACAGGTTCGATAAGCTACAAATAATATGAAAATGCATTTGTCAGAACTGCACCTTGTGGTTTAAATTTAAACAATTTCTTTACAACTTTGTCGACTTCTGACAGGCTTTAAGCCCCAACCTAGACTTCTGACAACAATTTTCCTAGATTCCTACAGTTAAAAATTATAACTCTACCAAATTTCACAACTGCACCTAATCATTTTTTTCTTATTGAAAATTTACGACTTTGTCCGCCCACCCACGCCTTCCGCCCCGGGAGAGAGTTCTGACGGGCCTCGCTCTGTACTTATAGGCTACCAAGGAGAGGTTATGTATATAATTCGTTACTGCACCTTATCAGTTCACATTTTCGTAGCCAGCTCTCCGACTATAAGCAGCAAGGTATAAAAATGAGTAAAGTAAATCGGAGTGGCACGCGGGAAGTGATTTTTAAAGTTTTCCAACGATGTTTCGAAGACTACCAAGCTGGACGAATTTTGTGGGATTTGGATGATGTTTATGGGCGAACAGCATTTATGACGGGTATGTAATCGTGTAACTATTTTTTTGTAATCTGCCTGAAGTTACAAATTTACTCAATTTACGATTTTGAGACCAAAAAGGCATTGTTTACATTGCACATTTTTAGGTTAGATTGACATTGTAAATAGGTAATATTCTAGTACGACCATTTCTTTTGATACGTTATTATGGTTCAATTCAGTCACGTTTTCTACCAATTTTGAATTAATTGTTTCATGTCAATAAGTTATTGTTTCTATTCCGTATCTTTTTTTTTTACTTTTCTCAGGAAAATCAGAGAGTCGGATAGTCAACGAAGGTTTTAAGAATGATGGAAAGTTTGAAACACCTGGGAAAAAATGCAAGGCCGACCAAAGAAAGAAATGGTCACATAAAGAACCATGGCGAGATGCTTTTAGTGAAGATACCTATCACTAATTTTACTAACTGCACATTAACAAATTGTTTCTCTAAATAAACTTTTTATATACTATAAAATGATTTTTAATATTATTTTCTTAACAAGTGTGTAAAAAAACGTCGTATGATGCTCAGACCAAATAAAAAGTAAAGACGGAGTCTGCCGAACCAAAAAGTGAAGCCGGTTTTTTATGTATGTAGTGCATTAGCCAGTGTTACCATAGTCATATAAAACACCCCAATATTAGAAAAATGTAATAACGTTATTCCATAACGTTATTAATAACGTTATAAAATATTAGAAAAAAATATCGTAAGCTTATTCTCTAAACCTCTCGTGAGCCAAAGGTCATGCGCCGTTCTCACCTACAAGTGCCGGACTTCTTTATGGACCGCCCGCCCGTGGGTGGCAACGATTGCATTGTTCTGCCGATTTCTCTGTTATTTTGTAAAAATACCCTTCACAAACGTATATTTGGATTCTCCATAAATTTTTCAATAAAACAGTGTGTACACAATGCGTCATGTCTATAATTTATTTTAATTACATTATGGTAAACTCAGGAAAGATAAAAAAAATGGTTGCCTGTAAAGT